CACCTACACATCCACAACATGTCAGCTAAGGTGCTTGAACCCAGGGACACAAAGTGCGCTAGTTGTACATAGTTAAAAGTTTGAGAGCCCAGTGTGTTCGGAAATATTTTACTGAATCAAGTAACGACCCTATTAACAAAATTACTGAAGACGCATCGACCTGCAAATACCCTGTTATTTAATAATTATTTAGAGTGAAAGATCAAAAACAACACTTCTTTGACATTTTTTAACATTTCAGAAAACTATTCTACATGTGTAGTTATAAAGTGCAAATTTCTTTCTCTATATGTTCCTTGATAAATCTTCTTCTCACTTTTGCTTTTCACAGTTCCCCTCACTATTATTTTATTTTTTATTTTATTTTTTTTTTATTTTTTTTATAAATATTCTTAATCTGTGTATATTGTAGAGCCTTAACATCTGGTGTCCCTAGATTTTATAGTTTTATAGACGAGATATCGCAAAAAAATGATAAACTCGTTTTGCGTATAGGATATTAGGTTATACATATCGACGCTTTCATACAGACCAACAGACGAATATAACCAAATCAAATCGGCTCGTCGTAAACTATAATATATACACATTATGGGGTCATGGGGACACGTCTACATCTGCCTGTTAGATTTGTTTGAACAAAATAAATATACATTTTTGCTCATTTTTAATGGGTAGAGGGTATAAAAAGAAAGAGATGAAAAAATCAATAGAAATTAACTTAGCACAAGACTGAGACAGAGGGATTGAGAATCAGCAAGCCAGTAAAACAGACTTTATGAAATATCCATTTACTTTTATAAATATACCGGCCTCTGAAGGCCCTTTAAAAACAGTTTAACTTACCTTCGTTATCACTCCGTCGTCGTTGTGGCACACTGTTGTAGCTGGTGGGATAAGCTTCAGTTTCAGACTTCTCTGTGGACTCATTCTCTTGTTTCTCATCCTCAGTATGCACGGGCGAGGATGGGCCCGATGACGCGCTAGCCACTGGCGAACCAGATGTTGCTGAATGGGTGCTTCCACTGAGGCCATTGCTATTGCCTGTATATGATGGTTCGGGGACAGCCGCATCGATAGAACCTCGCTTGGTTGCCTGCATCATGCAGCTCATCAAGCTGGTGGGCGAGGCGCAGGACGCGGGCGAGGAGCAAGTGGTAGGCGCTGCATCGTCTACAAGATCGATGGACTTTTTGCGCGGCTTCTCAGGCGGCACAGGGGCAGTTATTTGCTGCTGCTGTTGTTGCTGCTCCTGTTGCAACAGCGCCGAGCGTTGCATGGCCGCCGTAACGGCTGCTGATTTGGCTGGCGGCGGTGGTGGCGCCGTCTCAGAGCATTTGGTGGGCGAACGCACGCGCTCCGTAGTAAATTTGACGGGACTAAGATTCTTTGGCTTCATGGCTGGAATGGGCGGCAAGGGAGGCGATTTCACAGGACTGCCAATTTTTCCACTGCGCGGCTTTATCTCTGGTGGAATAGCTGTAGGAGGAGGAACGGCGGCAGGTGTAGGTGCAGCAGTCTGGCGTAAGGGCGCACTCGGCGGCTCCGGGCTCGCTGTCACGACTACAGGCATTGTTTTTGGCGTCTTCTCGCCATCCATAATGAGGCCTGTGCCGGGCACGGTGCGTATGATATCGCAACGATTGAGATCGCTGTGAGTCCGTGTTGTCTTTGTCTTGGTGAAGTGCGAGGTCCACTTCTTTTGCTTCTCAATGAGCTCGCGAGAATTGAATTTGCGTTCGGGTTTCTCAGGCTTGTCGCAACCGGCAAAAATCGCACTGACCGAACCGCTCGATGGCGGCGCCGCTGCAACTTGGTTCAGCTCTTCCAACTTCAGCCGTGATAAATTGTGCTGTGGATATTTGGCGGTTGTCAATGGATCTACGATAAATTTGGTATTGTTGAGACGATCGCCGCAAACTTGCGGCAGTGCTGAACTGTTGCTGCTCTGAGTGAGGGAAGCGCCGGACGGAAAGGGCATACGTCGCTTCGGCGGAGACTGCGAGCGATCCGAGGAGCGCGACGAGCTGCGATCGGAGCCTTCGTACAGGTTATCCTCACGTGATCCGCTGCGCATTAGGCGTGCGCTCACATTCGAGTTGGACTCCACTCCCAGTTTTTCGAAGAGTGCTCGTGCGTTGTTAAATCTGGCCGAGTGGGATTCGGTGCGAACTGGCGGATGAGCTGCAGCTGCAGCGGCGGCGGCTGCGTGAGCTGCGGCCACGGCGCTCAGCTGCTCGACCGGCTGAATTTCAATGGGTTTCCGCTGGAAGATGTTGGCAATTTGAGAGACTTTTCCAACGGGAGCGGGCGCATGCTGCATAGGCTTCTCCATATTAGGGCTAAAAAATGTAGCAAAAGAATAGCAGAAAATTAGATAACAATTAAAATTATTCAGTATATCGTTTTGGACTATGACTAATTGTCTGATAGCACGCAGTTTCGCGCGTCAAATGGCAAAATCGTGTTTTTACCCTTGCCATTTTTGTCAACTGCTTTAACTTTCGCAATGCTTTTTACTTTCTGCTTCGAGTTGTTAGCTTTCAAAATAAAATAATGCAATATTTATTGTTGTTTGCGATCAAATGCAGTTTTTATTGATGGGTCAGCTCTCAAATAAAGTCCGGCAACGTTTAACAGCAAAATAAGCCCACCAATTCGAAGACTTTTAAGGAGGGCGTTGCCAGCTGTAAGGGAGGAAATAATTTAGCTAGTGAGAGATATGAATGGAAAGAAAGAGAGAATGAGACTAAGTGAGACAGAGAGAGAACGAGTGAGAGAGAGGCAGAGGCGAAGAAAATGCTTTTGCAACGACTTTGAAAGCTATTTGCTATTTTTTGCTTCCACTGATATCTGATAAGGCCCCGGCGAGTTTTGGAGTGCGCTACAGCGATTGCCAATGTAAAAAAGGTTTCAAATAGTAAAAATGCTCGGTTGAGAGGGTGAATAAATTGTGGTTATCTATCAAATCTGAGTAATTCGCATATACAAAAAGACACCATTATAGGAGATATTATAAATTCTTCTAACCGAAGTTACACGAGCTTATTACTATGTATAAAATAGTTAGCATTCAAGAAATTGGCTCTTCAAATTGTAGGTAGAAACAGAAATGTTGGTTGTCTGTGAGTTGTGTATTTTGTTTATGACAAAATTATCGAAAAGACAATGACTACGTACTCACTACTATAAAACAATTAATAGCGGAGAAGTAAACAAATGACACAGATAACACCCACACACAGAACTATGTACTTTATAGATAGACTCAAAAAATTAAAATTGAGTATGCGACAGATTCGACTGTGTGTGAACACACAAAACCGTACAACAATTTACAACGCAAAACGAACAAAGAAAAATATAAATATATATCAAAACTAGTTCTGATTTACACAAGCACAACGTTTATCTAATCTCAACAAAAGTTATAAAGACTTGCGACCATGAATAAGATAAACTTATCAGAGCTGTGATAAAAATTATCTGTGATCTGGCATTCTAACTATTGTCGAGCACTGCAGGAGCGTTCCAGATAAGCGATGTGCGATAAGCAAAGTGATAAACGTGCTGCGGTAACTGCATTTTAAATATCACGTATACAACGTAAATGCCCAAACCGAAATGCTGCTATTTGGTTGGTCTGTGCCCACAAAATATTCAAAGATCAAATGTATATATTCGGGTGCTGGTATAAAGTTAATGACAAGTTTTATTTCAATGCCCTTGCTCATGGTAAATGATACATTCAGACAGACAATTCAGGCAGAAGAGGAACCAGAGAAGTGCCAGGTTTTTTAAAGGGTAAGGAAAGCAATGCATTGTAGTGCACTTGCACTAATTCTCCTTGACATGTTTACATATTAATTGTCAACAAGGAATTGTTAAATTGAGCTCGTTAAATGCGTTACAAGCAGACGGAATCCAAGGATACAGTGCACAGGGAAAGGAAAGCGCACACGTCTCTCCCAAAGTGTCTGCGTCAGCACCCACATCAATAATAATAACAACAATAACAATGTCGTGTGATATAATTGTATTGACGCTTCGCCTGGGAACAAATATAATGTGAACAATGAACAATAGCTCGCTGATAGTTAGATTGGCGATAGATTGCAGAACGCCCAAGCGGCAGGTAAATGGTTATCACAGCGATTGACTGCAGGTAGCGAAAAGTCGAAATTATTTAAGTACTTGCCGAATGTTAAAAAGTTAAAAAGTTGACAATTCATATTTGATTTGACTTTACAGATATCTGGTCAAAAAAACTATGCATGATCTGACCCGTGACAACTTTGCGGGTAGACAAGCCTAGGCAACAGAAACAACAAACACTCACAGTTCACAGATTTCAATAATCAAGATGCTTTGATAGACGACGAACTAACAACTGCAAATGAACGCAAAACAAGTCGCCGCCGTTGGTTGTTCTTGTTAGACAAATTATGCCAATTAAACGGTGGGAAAACGAGTTGGCAAGTCTGCACGCTTGTCGCCGCCTCAAGTGGGTTCTACTTTGTGGGTTGCGCTGAGTGTGGGGAGACTGGAAAACGTTGAATGCTGAATATAATACGAGTCAAGGATGCAGTCACTGGCCGACTTGCCAATTGAAGTCATTAATCTCGCGCGAGTCAGCTGCCGAGCAGACAGCCAGGACAATATCATACGTGTGACAGCAAATCGAACGAGGCATGCATGCATCAAAGGATGCGACGCTTAATTGAAACAACTGAAGCGATCAGAGGCGTATAGAAGATATGCAAGATATCCAGTTGAACATTGTGCCAAATCCTGTTTTATGAGACTGGAAATTGTGTTGCCAAAGCAAGTAAACTTACACTCTACCACAAACCAAGCCACAGAACCCCAAATCACCTTTTTAGTTAGTTAACCAAGATAAGGCTTATGGTAGGACCTAGCAGACAACTAAAACTTGAAGCGTGATTTTTTCAACGCATACAACATATTCTACATCTATAATTTCATAATAAAACATATGTCTAAACTAGCATCATTTCCCTATTACCTAGGCAGTAGTATATGTTAAGGCCCTTGCCGTCGCCGACAAAGCTGATCTTGTTGCTCAGCTTATTGAAAGCCACGTCCCACAGGTTCGAATTGGTGGTACACACAAAGGACAGCGAGCTCTTTGTTGTTCGGACGTCCCACACCTTGATAGAACCATCGGAGGCGCCGCTGACAAACCGCAAACCGTCTGGCGACACAGCTACGGACATAACGAAGGCGTCGTGACCGGCTAGGCTTTCACGCAATCTTCCGCTGGGTAAATCTATGAGTTTGATGGTCTTGTCATCGCAGGCAGCCAACGCATGACGCATGCAGGGATCATACACCAGCCTTCGCATGGGCTTCTTATAGTTCCTGCGACGTAAAATCTGCCCGGTGGCGCCATCGAGCAATGTGAAGTTCCCTGCGTAATCGGTGGCGCCAACTAAACGCTGATCCCCGCTAATGGCCAGGCCCAACACGTTTTCGCAGCGATGTGTGTCATAATTATGCTGCAGATTCCCGACGGACGTATCGTACTTATAAATGTGTCCACTGCCGGAGCCCGCATAGACGCAATCGTTGGTCCGACCAAAAGCTGTTGACCAAATGTTACTGACTTGACTGTGACTAACCCTGGGCAAACGCACGCCCCCCTTAATGCTAAGAAGCATCAGATTGCCATCCATAGACACGGCAGCTATGCAGCTGCTGTCCGGACTAAGCGCCACATTATGTATTCCAAGGCCGGGCAGCTGGTGGCTGTATTCATGTGGGAACTCATTCTCCTCGCTGGGCGATATGTGGACGATACTCAGCTGCGGCTTGATGCCGCCAGTAATAACAAATTCCTTTGGCCTTAGCTTTGCTAATGTGAGTTCGTCATCCTCTGAGCTATTGTCATTCTGTTCTGGCATGATGAGGCCCCATGCACAGCACCACACTCTGTTTTCTGGCTCTTTTTCGATGCTGATTATTTTTGTTGTTTCCATGTTGCTGTTCCGTTTGCCTTAATGTCTATTCTCTTGTTAGTTTTAATTGTTGACTGTTTTTCACTCTTAGCTAACGCCTGCCTAGATACTCCCCATAAACTCAAAATGCCTACCAATATGCAAATCGGTCATAACCGAAATTGCCACGCAAGCGCCGTGCCCAGAAGGGCCTCCCAGAGCAGACAGAAGGATTGAGCTTGGCATATTTAACAAAGTTTACGAAAATGTCAGCAGAACACAATAAGTATCAGCTCTATCTTACAAATGCCCAGTAATAGATAATCGATAGATAGTCTTGTGCCAAGGAGTAAACAGACTTGTCAGGCTTGAAAAGTCAATTAGATCACTTTTAATTGACTGACTCCTTCATGTCATCTCTCCCAGGAAATGCCATGTACACAACCACACTCCTCATATTTCAGGTGATCTCTAGTCATGCATATATACTCACCTTTTTTTTTTACAAGTTCCTTTGTCCTGGTGTTTGTTGTGGTGGTAGCTTTGAAGTTGACTTTAGTTTTGAATATACCCAACAACTAACAGCAAATAACACTTGACACCTTTAACATTTCTGTGTTGGTTGCGCTGTTCCCAGGTGGTGACCCACGTGAAAGTGGCAACTACTGGTGCTGCTATTGTCCCACCTACTCGTCTCAACTGATAGCACTCAAGCGTGGAGAGCGTCGAATTCGCTGTAGTTTTTTTTTTTTTTTTTTTTTTGTAGTTTTGCTGTTAGCCAATCAACCAACCGTCGGGCCAAGCATTTTGTGTATTTTTTGTGTAAATGCAAATTTCTGCAAAACAAAACAAAAAAAAAATTTTAATTTCTGCATACAGTTGAACAAAACTGCGCCCGACGGTCATTCAACCGCAAAGCAAACAGTCTCAAAAGAATCGCCACATTATATGGCATCCAAAAATGGCATTTATTAGTTTTTATTTTTGCTTAGCTCTTTCCTCTTGACTTTCCGTGTCTTAAAAACAAAGGTAAACCATTTCAAACGGAAGCCATTTGTTCCCGCTGTGGGTAGCTCAGTGGAGCACTGCGATCGGACGTTGAATGCCTGAGGCGGAGACGCCAGGAGCACACAGGCCCACAGCGTGGAGAGAAAGTGTTGCAAATTGTTATACAAAACGCGTTGACGCCTCGCAGACAGCATACCAATAGGTAAAAACAACAATAACAACCAATTTCAATAGCAACAAGATCGCTCTAAGCAACAGTTTTCGAGTAGATCACAAAACTTTAATATTTATTATATAAAAATATGTTTTGCCAAGCGATTACATCAAATCAATACCAAATGAACACCCTTTATCACTCCGAGTAGGAGATAGGCTACATCAAGAGCGTACATACAAACGCGCTTTAGTAATATTACATGGAATCATCTTCAGTTTCCGTCTGACTTGCTTCGGACAGAAATCACCATTAAAGTTCATGAACAAGTTGCCAACTGGGGATGCCATAAAAAGTAAGCTTGACAATGAGGAAAACAACTAGAACAGAACTAGAGAGAACCGAAGAGCCACACACCTTGTTAGGGCCACAATATTAAAGCATAATAATATAAGGCCTTCAAAGTAATTTACAAGACTCATCAGTCGACTCATTACAGCCTCGAGTTACATACCACCATAAAAACATGCTTTAACTGATAAACACATCATGTTTTGTTGGTGCAAAACAAGACAAAAACAAGTGCCTTAAATTATAAACAACAAACGTAACATTGAAAGAAAAAATTTCAAAAGCAGTGTATTAGCCAGCGGCCTTTATCTAAACACAACTCCAACATAAAAGACGACTGCAACACGATATTAAAACTCTAAACAACCATCGCCGCAGTCCGAATACGATATAAGGCAATCAACGCTTTGCTGTTTCTTCTCGATGTTAATTATCGTATCTGTGTTGACATTAAACAAAAGAGAAACACATAATAGATCGGGTCGAATCGGTGTTCGCTTCAATAGGAAATTGTCAAGCATTAGAGACATATGTGGAGAATTAAATAAAATGGTCATCTTAGCTTCAATCTCAAGTATGTAATATGTGATTTGGGACGTGATTCGCCTATTTCACAATTTCACTCACATGAGGGCAAATGATAGAGAAATGATTGGAAAACTGATGCCCGGCTAGGAGATACCCTGAACCTTCTTACAATAAAACCAGAAGCAGTAAGAAAATGGGATTTCTATATTAATTGTTATCGAATGTTTAGAAACTTCGACCATAGAGGTTCTTAGATATATGTTCTTAGGATATACAAATAAAGGATTTAATATCCGTTTCTGGTAAACGGACTGTTTAAACAAACGAAACTCTAAGAGGAAGCCTAATATGATTCATTAAATCCGCAATCGAAACCACATACCATCACTTTCATCTTTCTCATTTTCTCTATCAATTTTCGTTCCTCTCCTTTCACGTGCTGCACCTTAACGAACTCACGAATTTTCTCATAAATTACATCGTTTAGACCAGGTAATTTTAAACATACCTCGTTTCGTTTATCATAAATTACTTGCGCGTTGTACCATGTAAATGTTTTATTAAATGTGGGCCTGGCAACAATACGATCTAAATAACCTGCAAATAGCAGGTAATGCAAATCGATGGAAATAAAAAATTCAAGTAGAGTAAAAAAATCCCATTTGCAAAGGCAGAACTACAGCACGGCAATTAAAGGCATTTTGCGAAACACGATCACAAATTCACAACTAGCCGGGTTACCTATTTAACAAACTATAAAATTCGAATCTAGATCTTAATGGGTTCAAGATATAACAAGTTAGTTAGTGAGGTATAGATCAGTAACAAACTGTCTTGACCAAGAGATGGCGCAATAATTCACTCGAGTCGCGAATTTCCCTGACTTACTGCTTTGGCAGCAGTAAGCGGAATGTAAAAAAGAACCTGACACTAATAGGACATTCCTTTTCAGCCAGAGTTGCGCTTTCGGTGACTCGCAGGACTAACTATTTACAGATGGAAATAGTCAGATTAACTGAGCTAAATATTATTACCAAGATGGTCTAAAACGGGCCCTATTTTGTAATAGTTCAAATTTGAAAGCGAATGGTTGCCCAATCAATATCGAAATAAAAGATGATGCACTCTTTGTGTAACACAAAGTGAGAGCGTGACAGCGTCAAACGCAATTATAAAGCAAAATCGCATTTTAGCGTATATATTAAATTTTTACGCTTCTGGCAACAATCAATAATTTACAACTACAACAAAAGCAATGAAAAATAAGAATAAATATTGATCTTCATTAAATCTACTTGTTAAATTTAAAAAATAGCTTTGTGATTTTTGTAAGACATGGAGATCATGAATTGCTTTTATAAAGTACATACGATAATTGCTACGACTGACAACGTTTAGGTCTAGAACTATGTTTTGAAACATCTTAGCTTAGCTGTGCTTCTGGGTAGTTGGCACTGATTGGAATCGAAAAAGTAGCCCCGTAATAGTCATGATGTCTGCTACGGCGGAGATTTCCAATAATGATTAGGGACTGTGACTAAGGCAGCTGTCAAACACTTGTCTTATCAACAGAGAGTTTGTATATTTAAATTAAATATTAATTAATATATTAATTATTTATATATATTAAATCAATTTTGCAGTTTTTGCTGCTTGTTTAATAGCCTGTAAACACCGAAGTGCTAAATAATGCCAATATAATCAGTTTCTTATTATTTTCCATTTAATGCGCCTTTAAGCTCGAACCTGCACTTTTCGTTCGGATTTATTTCATATTTAGTCGTAATATTCTCCAATATCGCGCTGTGACTTTATTGATTATAATTATAAAGTTTAATAAGTTAATAAGTGGTCATTCCTTTTAGAAATGATAAATCAATATATTCTGATGCTAATGTTTCTCAGATTTTCCCCAGATTCTTTTCTGATGGGGTAAAATTATAATTCAAAATATTGATGTATTATACACGTATCCCGATATTGTGAATATAAAGTGGCTGAGACCGATCGGATATGCATCCAATGGCAAGTACTGAACGTAACAAATGCCAAGAGGAAAAAGTAGGAGATGAGAACATGGGGAGCAGAGAGTGCAAAGTTGAGTCAACCTTAAGCACACACTTTAGATTTTTCCTCTGTGTTCTGCTGTACTTAAAAGAAGCTGCACTTTACATTAAAGGAAATGGCAAGAAACACAAGCGAAAACGAAAAGCAAAAAGAAGCCAAGGAACAACCCTCAGAAATGCATTGCTAAACGCATAAGCTAAGACGCCGGACGCTAGGATGCACAGCACAAAGAGAAAAGCGCATTATAGGCGTCGGCAAATGCAGGGAAATCGAATAACTGAGCAACAACAGTGGTTAAGTAGACAAAGACAATAACCTCCCCGCCTCTCTCTCTCTCAACAACCATAATACAATAACATACCCCCCCCCCCCCCCCACTCAGTCTACATCGATTCACCCTTGCGCAACGGAATGTCATGAGCAACGATTTTGTCATTATGTAAGTGGCGACGTTTTAGCCAAGTCTACCCCAACAAACCTGTTCTCCTGCACAGCCTCTCAGTCTGTCTCTGTCTCTGTCTCTGTCTCTCTCTCTCTCTCTCTTTTTATTTTCCTCTCGCTCCCTCTCTTTGAGTGTTGATTTCGAAATGGGAAATTCAATAAAGTGAAAGCTCAGCAGCAACTTTCAAAGCTGAGCATCCTGTCATGCACTTTTCACCCTTTTTGGGGTTAATTTCGCATACACATGAATGCATGCTCATCCGGTCGGGTGCCAAATGGAGCTAATGAGTGCACAACTGAAATTGACTGACCTTCCAAATTTAACATAGCCAATTTATAAAAATATGACCAATTTATGGCCAGCACACACACCCTTACAAAAGGTCAATCAGGGCCAGGCTGCAACGAATTAGCTTCTATAGTGAAATAACTTAAATGATTTACTTCAAAATGAAATAATAAACAATCTCTTAATCCGCTCTATGCACTTGAAGGGTATCCAAGCTTATTTGGAGACATATTGTTCTGTTGCGATATTATCTTTAGAACCAGCATTGCAATTGCAACTGCATTGTTGTCTGCTTCTTGTGTGTGGGCCCTGCGAATGGCGTGGCTGCATTCAAGCAATGCCATGCAGCATGCAGTTGGCACCTCATTCTTGCCAATTGCCAGTTGCCAGTTTTTTCAACAGTTGCCACGGTTGCTTAATATTGCCTCATTTAATTCAAAGCAAGTACATTTCAATAGACAAGTGAACATACAAATATGTTGCCCAAATGCGGCAACATAGGGTTAGGCACTTGGAACACCCGTAAGTTGCTGTCAAGAACCTGGACGGATTCTCGCCCTGCCCTGCTTTTATATTTTATATTATTTTTGGACATTTCCATTAAGACAACATTCGGTAATGGTAATTAGGATATTATGGGATTACATACATTCACGGTATTATAATTCTACTACCTATATAATATTTAACATATAAAATAAAAAATATTAATGAATACTAAACTGCGAAAAGTCAAACACTAAAATTACAAAAGCACAAATATATAAAGTTGAGCTCCTCTACTTTTCGGGCTTGAATTAAGATATATTTTCTTATATTTGGGAGTACTGTTTCACTGATTAAGGGGATCCAGCGTAGGCGAACGCTTAACGGTTACCTCGACGTTTGTCGAAAAATGTGAAAGCTTTAAAACCAGCGACAAATTTAGAAAAACTAATTCTACAAACGGTCGGCAAGTCGCCGCAAGTCTATAAATAAAAAATATTTATAAAAACAAAAGACAACCCTAGACTTACATATGTACAGGCGCAGACCCCATCCCAGAATTAACCTCAGATCCCCAGAAACTGGGGGTGAAGTAGAGTGAAGCTAATAGAAAAAAAACTAAGTGTCGAGTGTGCCCGACTAGAAAATTTCCTGTACCCCTCAGTCAATCTAATTTATTAGATTTTAGCACCAATCTTTGAACAAACAAAATCTTTAAAATATTGTCCAACACACAAACTCATGTATATTGTAAATATAAATTTGTGGGGTCTGACATGTCTCCTTCTCCCTGGTACATATGCACATTTTTACAAAACTCCCTTTAAGCAATTTTTAATTCGTAGAGGGAAGAACAAGACAGCAGCCGCTGCCGACATCGCCGCTGTCACAACTGTTTCTACTTATGCACACAAAGGCGAAAAAACGACAAGAAGAGTAACATAAAAGCAAAAGCAACTGAGACAGCGACTTTAAAAAGGAGGCAATGAAATTAATATATGTAGTTTGTAACCAGAAATTCTCACTAAAAATAAACAAAGAGTTCTTAGTGAGTGGACATGACTAGGGAAAGAGCATCTTATTATGAAGTTTAAAGCATACAAAGATATTTACATATAACTTGCACATATGTGCACACATTTATATACATATGTCGACTATTGAAACTAACAACAATGTGGCCTCCACACACAAACACACGCGCGCACACTTTAGCGACTGACTGAAATTTTGTTGCGGAAATAAAATGTAATTGGAGTCTCTGGTGCATATTTGCATACATCGTACACAGCAGAAAACACGATAAGCAAGCAGAGCAGCGCGAAGATCCATAAAAAAAACGGAGCGATAACAAATCATAATCAAAAGAAAACGGACAAAAGCCTTAGACAACAGCAAGAACAACAGCAAAAGCGAAAGCTAAAGATTGTCGGACTTTTATGTTTGTTTTTTTCGCAACTCTCTGTCGCTCTCTCACTCTCTTTCTCTCGGGCTATGTCGATCAACGAGTTCTCGATCTGACACAAGAGCGAGACTTGATGTTGGGAGCATTAGCTGATGTTGTTTGACCAAATTCTGCACAAGTCAAACTAAAAACCAGTTATACGACTGCAAGCCGTAGTGGTACACGAAAAGGGAACAATGCTATATGTCCAAGTAACTGTAAATGCAATGTGTCAGCTTTTGGCCAGGTGTCCCAAGGCAGCCAGCAGCAAGCAGCTGTTCGATCAGTTGCCAAGAAAATATTGAATTGACGGTGCATTTTGAATGCGTTACTTGCTAATTTTGCTTCTGCGCAGTGTGACCAGGCGCTAGAGAATGAGGAGAAGCGTCTTAGATGCCACTATACGAATTCTTGTCATTTGCTTTTAATTTTATTCGATTTACGCACCTATCACAGTTTTGTGTGCTGTCGAGCAACAACAATAATTATAGTTGGTTGCACTGTAGAAATTCGCCGACACTCATACACACCCCAAATTTGTTTGTATGTATGCATATGCAAAGTTCAACTCCGGCGCAGCAGCTCTCACTCTATCCACGCACATTCGACGCCACCTTTTTACATTTCATTTGTTTTTTTTTTTTTCGCAAAAGGAGTGGCGTCTACATTCACGGCTTAGCTTTTGCCTTGTCACTTACATTTATACATGTACTCGTGCACATGCACAATGCATAATTATTTTGTAGCACTTTTTCTTTTCGACATGTTCTCCTTTGAAATTATTCAACTTAATTTTGCGTATTCCTTTTACGCGCTGTTTTTCAGATCTGACAACAGTTATGTATGCATGAAGTTAAGTGATTGAAAATTTAGGTTTAAAACGAATCGAAGAGATTACTCGTGTTGAAATAATAATTAATATCGGATCGGGTTTAATTTATTATTTTGTGTTTTTATTTGTATCCGTAGGAGCGCGTGTAGGTGTATCGTTTAAGCAAATATTTCCCCCAACTGTATTGCGCAGCTCGCTGAGAACCCTTTAACAGGAGGTAGGTCTCCCCTAATTTCACAAGTACACAAATATATTGGTTTGTTAAATACGATTTTCGTACTTCCTTATCAAGAAATGTTAACAAATCGGCGCGCTCTTAAAATACACACCCGTCGCGACAATATAACAATGTTCGCATGAACAAAGAAAACTTCACTCCCGTTCAAATCGCTTCAGATTATCACGCGCCGACGACTCGTTCACAACTAACTGTATCTATGCAAACTCATTCAAAATGGATATAAACGAGTGTAAAAATGAGAAGGAGAGAGCGAGAGAGACTTAACATTCGATTAACAGACGTAAACAGCAGAGAAAGCCATAAGAGAGTAGAATACTTTTATAAATGTACAACCTTCATCAGAGAAATAAGAAAACAACAGCAACAGAATAAAAATGTCGCTCATTATTCTCATTGTTACAGTATTTACATGTGTATTTTGTAATTATTTTAAAACATTTTCTGCAGACAAATAACATATTAACAGCAGTGCAAAATCTGTAAGGCTCAAAAAGGCGCTGTTAACTTAGATAATATGAGTGACCATAAGACTTGAATGAATTTAATCTAGTTCACTGGTGAACATCCAGATTTACAGCAATATTCATTTGCCTAAAGATGAGAAACATATTTTTGTTAATTATTGTATACTGCACAACGCTTGCAGCTAATTCAAAAAATTGTGATCACTTGTTACGCGAACTGGCAAACGATCAGCAAAATTTCGTTTACTGCAACACAGCGCATGCCGTTCCAGTCCATCCTCAGGATGAACGCCTTTGCATTGCATGCAATCAACGGTATACCAATATGGCGAACAGTTACGATACGCTGATGACAAATGAAAATTGTTCTAAAATTTACATGGATTCCGATCGTATGAATATCGTATTTACAACACAGAACGTACTTAAGGGACTCTGGAACCGAGCCTATTGTGAGGGTTAGTCTGACGAATCCCTATGTGACTCACATTGACAAATCGTATTCTTATTTATGTAGAATGCTTCAAAGGCAATAACTCAGATAATTTTCACGACCTGTACCTGAATCTCTCGAGCTGCTTGGAGGAGAACAAAGGCAGCGAGTGCACCAGTTGTCTACTTAAATACATAAGAATAAACGATTTCTATAAGGATTTAGACCAGAAAAACAATGGCAAAGTTTGCTTTGATATGCAGGACGTGGTATGTAGTGGCCCAGCTTGCTTTGTTTGCTTTGCTAACATCGTTTTCTTTTTCAGATGAATCGCACGCGCGTGCTTTGGTCGAAGGACCTTAAATGCTGCCAGCGTGAGGTGAAAATGACAGCATTCCTTACCAGCGTCGCAATCGTGGCTGTGCTGCCCATTCTTCTGTTCTACAGCGCCGCCTTTGTGTTAACCAAACGACGGGAGGCCAATCACGGGCTGCTCAACGAGCAAGAGCCAGAACTGGATGCGCCATCCACGTCAGATATCATTACTGCTGCCATCCTGTCGACGCCGCCAGAGCCGCCAGCAGTATTAGACGCGAAGACTGAGAAAATTTCCAAATTGTTGGTAATCCCTGATTCCGATTTGTCCAGCGATGATGAGCCATTTGCAAAGGCAAAAACTAACTAAGCCCCTTAATGGAAAATTCGCCTTGTAATCTATTTTTATAATTGTTTACGTATGTGATAATCTACCATATAAATTGTTATAATCTATGCTAATTTATGGGCATATTTTGAATCTATCTCAAATATAAAAAAGAGAACTTGGTAAAAATGATGAAGAATCTGTTTAACATTTAACATACTCTTAACTATTTACAATTAACAGCGAATATATACAGATTGTTCTTAAAAATAAACAGATTGTTCTTAATCTGTAACTAACAAAAATGCCAATTTACTAGTTAAACAAGTGTACCTAAGTGTTGTATATCAAAAATTCTTTCAGCCAAGCCCAATGAAAAGTTTGTTTCAGGATAAGAATTATTTCTTGCCCCTTCTTTGCCATCTCGAAGGCAACTATCTGCTCCAGTATATGTATTATCCGGCAACGTATTATATAAAGCTTCAAAATTGTTAACTGCGAAGAACATTTGTTTCTTTAACATTTTGGCATCCGTATAATCTTGCTTGTTCGAGTTATTTTTAATCAAGTTTGTATTTGCATTGACGTTATCCTTCTCCTGGAAGTCTCGTATGAATTGCTGTGCAATTGATGTCCGATTACGTAGCATATCTTCATTACATTTTAAAGCTAGATTTGTTGAACAGGCTGGTAAATTTTGATCGATTTCCTGGGTTGCAGCCGGAAAAGTTCCTAATTCATGTCCCAAACTTTCTAAGACGCTCAATTTGGCTTTCAACTGTTCATTGGCTATTAAAAGTTGACGCTCTACCCTATATATATCGTTTACCTGGTTGGCCAAGTTCATATCCAATCTATCTATTTGACGCAAAACATCTTCTTTTGTGTGGTAGACACATCGCATCTGGTGCTTTCGCACCTTTGCATGTAAACGCAGCAGCTGCTCCTCCTCTCCCTGCAGCAGTACATTTTGAACATGTACTTTTTCTAGCCAATAATAAATTTCTTTATCACAAGGAAGATTTAACCCTGCCTCCTTTGAGTTCGGGCTATCGAGTCCATTAACCTCGCCTGGAAATTTACATTATAAAGAATAATACTGAGGTCTTATTGTAAATGTAGTTCCCTACCAGAAGAACATTGCGCAGGCTGTGGCTTATCCAGGTTCGAATCCAGCACTTTTTGTCGTTGATCATCAAAATCATGTGAATTAAGTCTCTTATTTGGTATGTTATCTGCTGCATTTAAGTACGCATCGAGCATATAATTCTTACCCAACTCAAGCTCGCGTTCTCGATGTTTTTCATCTTCAATCTTCAAAATTTGTTGTTCCTTTTGACTAGATTTAAGTGAAAGATAAGTATATATAATAATATAATAAAATAAGAAGGACTTACTTCAACAAATATATTTGCCTGTTTATGGTTTCGTCTTGAGCTAATATAATATTCATTAGGCGCTCATTTGGATTCAAATTGAAAGGCTGTACTTGAAATTTACTGCGCTTTGGTAGAGCTGCACCTCCCCGAAAAGGGGTATTGCCTTTAACTCCGGCTATTCCAGTTTTTTGTTTGCCCCGCCGTCTCCGATATTTATTACTTCGGGAACTGGCCATTGGGCTGCCCATGCCACTATCCTTATCGGTAGACATTGATAGCATTGAGAACATTTGGTTTTGCTTCTGGTTATAGACGCGCGGCGATGTCTGCAATGGCGTCCCCCCAAGATATCTTAGCTGGAGCTCACACTGTTGCAAAAGAGGTAAATTAAATACAATATCAATTTTTTTTTTAACCAACCTGATTCTTTGATGGGGTATCCCCTGTCGGTATGACATCCAATAGTCGTGAGCTTCCATCTAAATATTCCTCAAATCGACAGTCCGGAAATTGCTTTACAATCACGTATGCGTGATGGTTAGTAATACCTTTGCTTTTACAAATGTGTTCCTTGTCTTTGGTATTTGTTGTTGGTGAATTATGGTTGGGGATTTGGCTGGATGTATCTAATTTTTTGGATATATTATATGGATATGGTTGTGCATGTCCATCGGATCGCATTAATTGGACATCTTGAAAATGCAGCAGAGCAATGATCAGATCCGTGCATGTGGTATTTAAATCAACACCAGAGACCCAATGCTTCTCCCCATCAATCGTGATTAGCACAGCATTCTCTAGGATTTCCATTGAATCACCTGAATCAGAACCTCCATGGACGTCACCATTCTGCCAAATGTCTTTGTGGTGTTCCGACAAATTTACGAGGTTGGAAGTACCGACTGTTATAGATGCTTTCTTCAATGGTGTTGTGTCTTGCTCCAACATTATCGCTGGCACTGAAGTGAGTTAGAAAAGAAAATAAAGTAATCCATTTTTCTTGACGATTAAATACGATATTTGCCTACGTATATTAAACTGTTTGTCCTGATTAATTGACTGACTGACTAGTGAACGTTGTTTACAACTCACTGTTCAATCTAATTATATATAATAATCTGCTAACACTCCCCCGTTGCGGGCGAAAATTATTATTATAATGAATGAAATGATGAAGATTTAGTGGTCAAAGTTTTATGTTTTGCATATATATGTATGTATGCCTTTTTAAAAACATGCATGCATGCGTACATGTATGAATACATGTCTGGATACCTACATAGATGCACACATATATACATATTTATATGCATACACATATATACATGCATGTATGTATTCATTTTTGCATATACAAATGTATGCATGCATGTATATGTTTGTGTGCACATGCTGCATATATATGTAGGTTATGCAAAACTTACTTGAGATTTTCGACAGTGGAATGTCACTCAGCAAAGCTTGTGTAAATTGTATAAATTACGTCACCGTATTAAAATCACAGGTGTAAAAGGATAACAAACAAAAAAGTCACGATAAAAGGGTAAATTCGTTTGGCTTCTCATGTGTATCACAAATACAGTTTGCGCTAGTTAGGAGTGCCCGACTAAGAGATTCCCTGGACCCCGCGCCAAACTGCCGTCACAAACAATCTATCTTATATAGCTATTATACTCCTTTACCCATTTTCATTGAGTTCGCTGTACAAAATAATGCAATTCGGATAATAATACTTCTGTATTTCTCGATTAAATAGTTATTAATAAAGCGCTTACGAAAAAACTAACGATGGAAGATACCAACATAGCCGACCTAGGCTCAGGGATTTTTACGTAATATGTATATATTTATTTTACAGATAAATCACATAAAATTCAGGACCCGGAATCGGTTTAAAATATGGCAAAAAAGAGGCAACCTATATGAAGAGTCGTCCCGTCTTTTCCATTATAATGCCCTTCATACAAATATAATTGGGTACTGGGAACAAATATACAAAAACTGGTATTTGCTATATGTTAGACCTGAGCAGAATTACAAATCCCAGACACCATGGCATTTTGGCATACGGCGGCTCTTTGGTAGCCAGACAGCAGGTTTACCACACCCAAATTGGAGTTTGTTTGGCATTTAAAATGGAAGCACTAAATTATCAATCTACCACATGCAATACAAACTTATATTAGGTCTTGCAATAACCAGCTCTAATGCGTTTCTCAGGCTTTTCGAGCCAACAATGTTCTATGTAAAGAAAAATCTTAACTTCATCACAGCCATTTATAATGGTTAATTATGTTGAATTGTTGGGAGCCACCAGGTTCGTGCGCGTGGAATTTGGTTTTGGTTAAGTTGGCAACGATAGAAAGTGGCACTGAATCGTAACAAAGTACGCTTGCAGCTAGCTTTGGCACCAACAACATAAAACAGTTTCCAAATTATTTTTACCTTTAACACACGTTTGCTCTGTACCACATTTTAACCAGAGCCGAAGCCGGCGTTGAGCTTTGCGGCAAGGCAAAAAACTTTGATTTACATAAAAAAGACCATTTTAACGGTTCTTTTTCCCTTAAATTCAGCTTACACAAAAGTAAACGAACCAAAGCGATTGTTCTTAAAGTTCTTCTTTTGTCACTGTTTATTGTCGTTTGACTTTCTATTTAATTTGATTTTATTCCAACATATGTAACATAATTGCAGTAAATACCGCTTATTACAATCTTATGGAGCTTCTGTTATAGTTTTTATAAGTGTATTATTTTTCCAATGCTGAAACTGTGTTAACATACATCGCGCTGTGCTTTTTCGATTTTTTCCAATGTACACCTGCTGCTGGCTAGCCGTCCAACCAACTCTCTTGGCGTCGTCTCTACAACTAAAGGCAAAATCGAAAACCAAAACAAAAAGCTTCCAAGTCTCACGTTCGGCTTGAAGAGAAACTGCGCTCCAGCTAAAGAGCTTCAAAACCAGCCGAGCGCGCAACCAATTGACGCATTACTTACATACATACACACATTCACATACCTGTCCCGAAGCATACTTCGGCTGACAGGTAGGCAGTGGGCCAGCTGAGTTGATTGTGTGCACAATTCACACAATTATAACCATTCATTCCAAAATTTATGTATTTCTGCTCTCTTTGCTCATTCCGTCTCGTCGAAGCTCAGTTTTGTTTAACGTAACTGATCTAGGCTCGTCCCCTCATCACCTCAGTCTATTTTCTACTGTTTTAGCTGCCGATTGTTTGTTTGCTGCTTTGAAAACAAGTTCTGCGCTAGCTTACACATGCTGCAGCATATTATGAAACTACACAGATTCGGTTGAATAAATAATAATCACTTCCATGGGAACACAGATCAATTTTTTCTCAATGTATAAAGCATGAAAACAAAAAATTTGCCAGATTTAACTATTATTGTATCAAAATAAAAATTAAATAATTTAACAAAGAACAGTAATTTATATACATATTTGCAGCAAAAACAGTAACTCAAAATGTTCACAAAAATATCAGTCTTTGTTTTCAAAGCTATTTAATTGCACTGATCAAATCTTGATTTTGTTTGCTAAATGCAAGTGAATAAATGCGCCACATTTGCAAAATGTTGTAATTTTTGTTGTCGCTTTTTTAACCTTTCACTTTCAGGAGGAAAAATTTCTGTTTTAGGCGTAACTTTCGTGTAAGTTACCAAAAAATTTTGTAAATTTGGCTTGTAAAAGTTGTTTTCAGACATTTTTCTATCTGTTCATAACATTTTTTTTTTCTCATTTTCAATCAATTGGTAATGGTTAAATTACACTTTGAAAATGTGTTTTCAAACAAATTCTTTTTAACTGAATTAGCATTACTAAAGCTTTTAGACTTATGAAGAAAATAAGTTCTTGTACTGATTTAAACCCAGAAACTTGTTTACAAAAATATAAATTAAATAATCATTTTCATTCCACCGAAATATATAATGAATATGAATATAAACTCATCATTTTAAAGGTAATTTTACTCACCTCCAATGGTGATGCCAAAATTCACCATACCTTGACTTCTCTTGCTAGAGACAAGAGTATTTTACCTCTCTCTGAGTAACCCAAACGAACCTCAAACCTGTATTTTGCTTCAGCTTCAACGCTTCACACATTTATAAGCCTGAATATAGTATATAACTGGAAAATATATAAAGATGTGAGAATAAAAGATATTTCTGGCGTCACTCAATCACGACGGCCAAAATTTCTTACTTAATTATTATTAACTATTATAAATAAAAAAAAAAGAGAGATTGACAGCAGTTAATCATGACGTTGATTCACTTATATATTGTGAACAAATCTATAATTTGAAAAGGTAACCAAAAAATTATCAATCTTTTTTCTTTTTTTTTTTATTTTATACATCGGTTTGTAATAATACCTACAATATGCCTTCATAAAATATTAATGTGAATATTTTTAAACCATCTTGAGAAGTTGAAAATTTACTAATCGCCTTCATTATAACTTTCGGTCTACCCTCAAGAGCAAGCACGACTGTAGCCCACCTCTACAAATTATTTCGAGTCGACCAAGCTTGCTGAAAAGCGTAACAACTTTAGTTGTTAAACAATCGTCAGCGCGCGCTGTTTACTCGTTGTAGGGGCCTCAAAGCGCATGCGCAGCTGAGATAGTTTATAAAAAAGGAAAAATTAAAGAAAAAACACACGAGAGCAGAAATCAGTTACAGCGCTACGTATGAGACTAGAAATAAACGTCCATAAGTGTGTATTTGTGTATTTGAGTATTAAATACAATTACCTTGACGTTGCACCCACGTTTTTGAAGCCACAAATGGATTTGTCAAAAGAATTATACATGTGCATACATATGTATATTATTGTGTGCGTGTGTGTGTGTGGGGTGTATGATGAAGCTCAACATCTCTATTTAAAGAGGGGAAAAGCTGTGATTGGCATGATTTTTGCATCGTTTAATGGCAATTACGCTATTTTCTCTCTATGGCTAGCTAAGCGCATTGAACTGTCCCCAGCGGACGTTGAAACTATTTTCATGTTGCGAGCTCGTAAAAAATATATATTTTATTTTTTTATTAGCCATATATATGTGTGGGCCGAATAGCTGCAACTTTTAATGAACCATATACTTTTGAAGCTATACAATATGGCAATAATTTAATGCTTACCTTTTCGACAACAGGTATTCCAAGGCCATTCCAAATAAACAAATCGGAAAGCGTTCAACTTTAAAGCGAATATGCCGCGGAAACTACTAAAATTTCTCATTATCTTCGATAATACTTCACTACTGTACTTTCCGGGCCAATTTCTTTCCGGGCGTGTACTCATAGAACTGCAAGACGAAACACCAGCTCTGGGTCTACATTTTCATGTAGTTGGAGAGGGTGTTGTGCGGGCTGGAGGTCGACAAGAACGCACATACGACAAAGAAAACTACATTGATTTCCGTATGCGTCTGCTCGGCGATGTAGATCAAGGCCCAGCGATACTATCTCCAGGCATTCATAGTTTTCCCTTTAAATTGGGTCTCCCAGTCGGATTGCCATCCACATTCCTAGGCAGTTTCGGTTGGATACAATATTTCTGCACAGCAGCTCTTCGCGAACCCAAAGGACTGACTCATAAAAATCACCAGGTTTTTATTGTTATGAACCCCATTGATTTGAACCTGGAGAAGCCTATCTTATCGGTAGTTATACCATTAACTGTTTGAGAAACATATTAATATTAGTATTCATTTTTAATAGCAACCCTTTACCTGTGAGGTCGAACACAAACTGGGTGTTGTTGCCTGTGTCGGTGGCGGCCAGATCAAATGTCGTGTCGTTTTGGATCGTGGCGGGTACGTACCCGGCGAGAATATACTCGTCACCGCATTTATATCAAACTCTAGCAACGTGACCATCAAACGAACCAAGGCGTCGCTCACTGAGGTAATCTCTGACTTGTAGGAAGTTATAGCTTAAATAAAAATGTTTTTTTGCATTGTAGACCATTGAGTACTTAGCACGAGGCAAGACGGTTCAATCAGAGAAGCGCGCATTGGCTGTATTGGTACGTGGCAAAATACGTCCTGGTGGCAAGGACGAATGGCACAATGACAGCCTTTATGTGCCACCGTTGCCGCCAACAAATCTGCAAGGCTGTCATTTGATCAAAATTACCTACGATGTTTTTTTTGTCATCGAACCAAAGTCTCTGGAAAAGGAAATCAAATTGCAGCTGCCAATTGTTTTAGCTACATATCCATTCCGAAATAATACCAATGATGTTTCGAACACATGGCCTGAATCCGTACTGAAACCGGACACACACTATCCATCGACGTTGCCCATATTTCGCCCATGGCTGCATGAAAAACCGAATGCATAACCTCCATGATTGTCACTCGACACGATACAAAAAATTGTTGGATTAATATTTACGCCATACCTTAACTTATAACTTATTTAACTTTTAATGACTTGTAATGCTTCAAGTATGAAAAACAAAAATAATGAAAATTAACTTTCCACTTCTTTCTTTTCGATGTAAACATTTTATGTTGCGCGTGTGGAATTTGGATGGCATTACAGAGATAGATATACATATATATAAGTAAGCTTGATTTACTTGTACCTACATATGTATCAAAACAAATGCATGTGTGTGTTTATTTACATCTTATTTTGGGCTGTACATAGGCAAAACTACTTAGATTGTTATTAATAATTTTCTTCACATTAAATTGAACTTAAATCTGCTCGATATTAAATACGAAATCCATTTTTTTGTTATATATGATAAAAGAATACTACTACTTATATTAGCTTCAGTTAATTATGTATATATAATATATACTTATATATATATGTATATACACAGTAATATGTATATCAGAGCGGCTATACTCTACGTATGTATGTTTTGTTGTAGTGAAAGAATTTAGTTTATTTTACCTATATGAAAATCATAATTTTAGTTTTCAATAATGATTTTGTTAAACCCAGCTTAATCCAGTGTAACATTTTCCAATTTTACCAACAATCAATGCTTCGCTTATATGTATTTCAATTACCTTGACCAACAATATTTTCTCGAAAACTTTTGATCTTTTGTACAAAGAACGATTCAAGTGCTTCAGCGCACTTATAGAATGAGGATTCCTTTGGGTTATAATAGCGGCAGTTATCAAATATTTTTGTCATATCGCCAATGAATTCAGCGAGCTTAGTGTAGGTGTTTGATTCGAGTTTGGTTTCCATCTGCTTGAGATCTGTGAAAAATAGAAACAACTTTTTGAAAACGATTTCAATTATTGTAGCAATTTCCAATATACCCATGGGCTCCTTTATCACTTTGTAATAGTCCGGCGCCTCTTCCGGATCAACCGGTTCCATAAATGGCCAGGCACTTTTGTGGGACTGTAACAAGAGTATTTCTGCTACATAAGAAAAAACCAATTTGGATATTATATTAATCGATTGGCTACCTGTATTTGCTTAATCAAGCTTTTGAGTTCAACAACTTCATTTTGCGTTAGACTTTTTATATTTGCGGTGTTTGCGTCCGAATTTCGCTGACATTCTGGGCAGACATATTCGTCAATGTACTCAGCCTCGCTCTGGACGATACCTACGCAACGACCATGGAACCAGTCCTGGCATTTATCACAGCAAATATAAAATTGTGACTCATCGTAGGGCTGACGACAGCTACAATAAAGCTGTTGAGTTTCACGCGCTTTCTGACAATCGGTACAAATGAATTCTGTTAGTTTTTTGGACGCCTCTTCGGTAATGTTGACACAGTCACCATGGAACCAATTGCTGCACAAGTCGCAGCCGACATAAAACCTACAAGAAGAAGGTATGCTTAAGTCAAGTCCGTAAGTGGTTTAAATGTGGACTTACTTAGTGTCATCATAGGGCTTACGGCATATACAATATAACTTCTCCCTTTTCCTAGTCATCTTCTTAGGCCGACCAACAGCGTGTCTGTTATGCAGCATAGGTGGCTCCGTTCCAAGACTGCGGCCCATAGATGGTTTGGAGTGTCTGCAATTTAATGTGAATTGTATGTCCCGTTCAAATTATTTAAATTTCCACTTACCGCTTGTGTTCATTATTCTGATCCACCAGACGTTCAGTAAACACTGAAGTACACTCGTTTTCAGTCGTTTTCTCTGGTGTCGTTGTGCTCATGGCGCGCACGTGTCGCTTGACTTTGGCCTCCACTTCCTCACGGATTTCATTTTGCAAATTGCGTTCCAACAGGGATCGTTTGCGTAAGATGCTTTTCTTAAGCAAATCTTTATGACGCTCCAATTGCGTTTGTTTTGGTTCACTTATATTTGCTGCATCCTCCAAAGGCAGATGCTTACGATTATTTTTAACTGCGCTATTGTGGTTAACACTGGGTAAACCATGATGACGCTTCGATGGAGTACGTATTTTCCACTCATCATCATCGGTATTATTATGCCGTGACGTAGTGCGTCGACGATTAGAAGTGCTGGCGCCTTCAACTATGGAATTTGATCTGTTCGTTGATGGCGTCCATTCGCCCAGGTTTTGAGAATTTTGTTGCTCCTGCTTCATACGCATGTTGACCAATTTCTCTTTTAGCTCGGGACTCAGATTACCTTGGTTTAGTACATTTGTAATGGCTGCGATTATAAATAATAGCGATTTATTACACACATGAAATTTTTTATATATTAAGGATTCTGCCTACTTTCTTGTATATAGCCGCTAGTGACGACAAAATTTTCCGTTTGCTCATTCTCGACGCCTTGTATCAAGGATGTGCCACAGAGATCTGTTGCTGATACTATGGAATAATCTACGTTTTCCTGTGCCACAGTTGTTCCAGATGCGTTGTAGTTGTTGTTGTGTGTGGTGCTATTATGCTTATCAGCTTGGGCAAGGCTACTGGGCTCGACGTCAATACTGCTGCTGCTGTTGCCGGTGGCACATGTGCTGTTTGTTGCGGGACAACTGTCGTTTGGGGCAGTCTCCTCATTATTAGCTGTAGGCGCGGTGGCGTCGTTCTCGGTATTGTTGTTGCTGGTCTTATCGTTGGTCTGCAATATATATCGATTGACGGCTTTAGCACTATCAAATTCATTTAATTGCTGAATATGATCATGGTTAGCTTTAACGTTAACTATAGGTAGGTCCTGAGGTTGCACATTCCGCTCTTCTTCTGACTTAAAACTAACTTCATTATTGCATGCATCATCATTTGTACAAACTCTATCTTGATATTGGTTCACCTCCTCCGTAGTTTCGATTATCGTCTCAGCTGTTAGTGGTGAAAAAGTCACCGATTTTTCCTTTGTACGAGGCGGACTGCATACAACAATAATTTCATCATCATCATCATTATTATCAGGTTTAGATTCATCGCCATCTTGTACTAAATAATTTGAGCTTACAACATATACAATTGAGATGCCACCAACCTATTTGTTTTTTTTTTTTTTTTTTTTTTTGTTTGTTTTTATAGGAAGTGACCAATAACATTATTCACATAATATTTATTAAATCATTAGTTCGTTAGTCTCTATAAAAAATTGTATATACAATATTTACTTAAATAATGTTTAATGGTAGATATGATGATCACCTACCTGGCTTTAATCAGAGATCAGTTGTAGTATTTATTCCAGGCAACCTTTTACGATTTTGTTATGGTTTGTAGTTTGTGGTTGAGATGTTGTAGTTTGACGAAGAGATTAACACGTGAATTTTTGGGAGTTGTAGTTGTTGACACACGGATTTTTAGGCAATTCGTTTATTACGTTTGGATTTTATAAGTATTGGCAGCATGGATTTTATTTTAAAGGGTATTCGAAATTAATTTTTAATGGTACAAAGTTAGTTCTTTAAAAAGATTTGATTTTGTAAAGCTTGCTTTTAAAATATGTATAATGAAAATTGCGGCAAAAATGTTTTAGCGTCTTTTTGTGTACTTTGTGAACGAGTTGTGATTGATTGATTGCGTGTGTATGTGTGTGAAACTCAGGTATTTCAGTAATCGCTTAGATTGTTTTTTAACAAGTGTAAAAATTTATTTCGATTTAGATGAGATGATTACAAATATGGTTAAGCCTTTGTGTTATATTTCGAAGATTTTCTTCATACAAAATCTAGCTTACATGCGCTTACGCGGGGCGGAGGGGGCTAGTTGGAACGGAGTAATTCGTCGTTTAGTTTGCCATGTGGTATTAAGGACCAGCACTGCCTCCGATTTATGAATATTTAATAAGTCAGCCAACTAAAACTCTGTGTGTGGGTTAATCTCTTCAGCAATATTTTTTATATATATTAATTGTTCATGTTTTCATTTGATTTTTCTTACGATTTTCTTTTAAAAGCAAATTTAAGTTTGGCCATGGAAAAACAACAAATTTTGTTTGGTCTATTTGTTTTGTACTCTAATTCAACTGATTTCTGATTAAAGTCATATATGTTATTTGTTTAACATATGTAAATCGATTTTTATATATTTAGCATACATTGGATTACAACGATTTCTTTTCATACATACATACATGTGCAGAATATGTATATGTATGTATATACATTATATAGTTATAGAAAGCGAGCGCTTTTCGTCAACACAAAGGCCAATTTGCAAATAATCATCCAACTAACTCAGAAACAAAAATTTACGCACCAATTTTAATACATTGTGCATATTCTTATGGTTCATATTAAACTAAGGGAAACAGGGGGCTTTGATAATGGAGTATATATTCGTAAAAAGTCAAAGCCTCAGATATAAGTTTAATATATATGAAATAGAAACACGCGTTTTTATTTTTCGAGAAATTCAAGAAAATTTTTCAGTGTGTGGAGAAAAGTGTATTAAACTAATGTAGTTATTTAACTAACACACCTCGAGTAAACAATTAGGAGACACAGTTCTGCTGCAATTTTTGTTCCTTATATATTTATAATGAATATTTGGTTTTGTCTTTAAATTACTTGTTTCCATAATGTTACAGTTTTAAATACTCAAATTTAATATTTGCAAACTTGTTTATCTATATTTTGCATTAGCATTAATTCAATTGAAAATAACGAATTTAATAATTTGAAAATAATATAAAAATAATTTATTCTATTTTTCTGTTCCCATTATTTAACATTTACAATCACTATGCGATTTAAAAAGTTGTAAATGTATTTAATTTTTATAATTAGTTTTTGTTATTTATTTATTTTTTCTTTTTTGTATCTCAGAAGCATCTATCAATATAAGAAGTGAGAATTAATAAATGTCCACCTATATAATTAATATGGTCTGCGCTTGAGTATATTGTATGAAAAGAAACAGGGTTGGTCATCGTTATTTTGTATATTTCATACATATTTTTATTGCAAAAAGCGCTTTACATACATTACAAGTAACATAGACAATAGAGATAGAGTTAAAACCAAATGAAACTAGGCAAGAAAATTCTATACGCATGCAGCGTCTTGTCTAATACTTTTGCCCTGGTCGCTAAAATTACGTCACAGTCTGTTTAATTGCTCGCTAAAAAATTAAATACGTTATAGGTAAAACTCATTTGAAATGTGTGCTGCTATGTGCTGAACCAATTCTATATGTTTTATCGTCTATCTTCTATCTTGTTTTTTGTTTTCTTAATATTATCGATAAGTTGTAAACTGGCATTACATTAAATTTACATCTCTAATTTTATAAACATAATAAAATTACTTAATGAAACGAATTAAATAAATACGTATAATTATAATCATAATCAATTTTCAAAAATGCACTTTATAGAATATTCACCAACTGCATCTAATTGTTAATGAGTCTGTCTGTGTATATGTGCGTTTGTGTGTGTATGTTGCAGAATTAGTTGACAAATAATTATATTGCAAAATTAAGCCTTTTGTTGTGCAATTTTTAACCAAACAAATCATTTATATCTTGTTGGACGTTTGTTGGAAATGGCTCGAATCACACTTGTACATGCCATTAAGGAATGTGCATAGTACGTACAAGGCGCAAAGCGTATGAGCCATAATCATATGCAATTTGCTTTTTCGCTTGTAGAGTATTCCATACAAAAGAGTTTAACAAATAATTGATAGTTATCAAACAAAACTTTTCTAATAAATAAATGAAAATTACTTCAAATCATAGCAAGATGCGTTATGTTCTGTGGTAAATGTTAACTTAAATTACATTTTACAAAATTAATTAAAATAACAGGTGTCTTGGAAATTTTTCGATTGTTTGGTCGATCGGTACAACCGCTGCCTACTGTCTATAAAGTGCTTAAGAGTTCCGCGCTCTCTCGCCCTTATATGATTTGCATTTAAAAGCTACTCACTTGTTGATGTGTCGCCGTTTGATGAACAGGCGTTAACGGCGGCGGCTGTGACGACTGTGCCGCTGTTTCCGGTTGCACGGCTAAATAGATTTTTGTGGGGCCTAAGACGCCTAGCTTGCCATTAGATTCTTGAGCTAAGCATGAGTAAAAAGAATAAATCAATTTAGAACTTGCTAGCAGCTTTAGAGTATTAGAAATTCACCTTTCATTAGCTGCTGCTTGACCTGCGTTTGTACTAGCTGCAGTTGTTGTGCTGTAAAGTCGTTGCCTACTAGCCCTTGCAACACTATACGTGGTCCGTGCTCTGTTTGCAATACTTGTGCCGTGACACATTTAATAACCGTGCCAGGTGGCTGATTCTGGAGGAGACTCTCTTCAACGCTTAAGGGCTGTTGTGCTGGTGTCTGCTGGACCACTTGCTGCACAATGTGCTGCTGCTGTTGTGGTTGCACTTGCTGTTGCTGCATAACAACTTGTTGTGGACTTTGTTGTACAACACTTTGCTGCTGCGGCTGTTTAGTAGGGGAGGCTTGCGGACTTGCTTGAGATACTGCAGGCGTTGCATTGTTAGTCACAATATGGGCATTGCCATCGCCCTGATGCTTAATATGTGCCACAATTTGCGCTTGATTGTTACCCAACGGCTTGACAATCACTTGCTGTCCATTAATAGTCGCCACTTGTAGCTTGCCTTGCGCCAGCTGCTGAGCTAACGTCGAATTCGGCACTAGCACTTGCTGCGTGGTTGTCTCATTGCTCTCTGTGGTACTGCTCTGGGGTTTCTCTTCAATTGTTTGATGTTGCTGCTGCTGCACCACCAGCTGCTTAACCAACTTTGTTTGCGTTGTGGCTGTTGATTGAACTGTTTGATTGGCTTGTACCACATATTGTTGCTGTGGTTGAACGATGTGCTGCTGCTGTTGTTGTTGCTGTGTTTGTATTTGCTGTTGTACCATTTGTAGGGCTTGACTTTGCGGTACACTCCGTTGAGTAACGATCGTTTGACCTGGACTTAATATTATTCGCTGCCCGCCAACAACAATTTGTTGTTGTACGTTGCTCGTGTTGACAATTTGCTGTATCACTTTTTGTGTAGGCTGGCTGCCCATCTGTTGATTCACCACAATTTGTTGCTGTTGCTGTGGTGCCTGCTGTTGGATGTGTTGTTGAATTGTTTGTGTCTGAACAATTTGCTGTTGTTGGACAGTTGCAGTGCCTTGTTGCTGTTGTGGTTGACTTGGCGATGCAGATATGATCACCTTTTGGCCTTGCGATCCTTGCGTGACCAACAACTTTGATCCGGGCTGTACAAATACTTGCTGATTCGGTGCAGCGGCGGTTACAACTTTCGGCACTAATTTTTGCACGGTAGGCGAAGCGGTGCTCGTCTGACCTGTTTGTTGCTGTTGCTGCTGCGCAAGTAAAAGTTTGTTTTTTACTTGTGCTAAAGGTAGCGTTACGCGTTGTGACGATGCGAGGGCTTGCGCACCCGGTGATTTAGCAATGTTAACATGTTTCATTGCAATTTGTTTAATCACTGGAGATGATGAATTTACTGCAGTCGTCGTTGTTGCCACTGCGTGTGATGCTGCAGGTGTTGTAATTGTTTTGATTGGCAGTTTTCCTTTGACACCTGAATTACAAAAATAGAAGGTTAAATGCAAATTAAATAATTGCTTGTTGGACTCACTTGATGTTACTGTGTTTGATGTTGTTGTCGTTAAGACATGTAGTTTGCCGTCCGGCATTTGTACCAATTGCTGACCTGGATTTAGTCCACGGACGCTTACTTTGCCGTCGGGCCCACGTATGATTTGTACTTTATGTGGCGTGGAAGCGGGTGTCGTTGATGTTGCATTTGTAGACGAGGCGGGGCTTGTTGTTGATGAAGTTGATGTCGAACTTCGCGCTAATTGCGTACCGGCTTGCTGTATGATGCGCGTCGTACCATCCGGATTTTTTACTATCACACGTCTACTACCAATTACTTGTCCCTTAACTGTAAAAGCTGATTATAGATAAATCTTAAAAAAGTATAATTTCCATAATTTACCAGGTGTTGATGATCGAATAACTTCGTTAACGCCAATTACTTTACGTTGTTGATGTGCCGCTCGTTGAAGTTTCAACTGTTGTTCCATTTTATCCTTGACGTCTTCCCCCGGTTTCGGCGCCAATAGAACTCGTCCACCTCCTGGACTTCCAACAGAGGACGCATTAGGACCGGAGCCGTTATTCGATTCAAGTTGCCGCGAGGTCACGGAACGAGTCACCGTAGCAAGGCGTGCCTTCTCTTGCTTCTCACCAATAAATTTAATTTCCCATAGCTCGAGCTTATCCTCATCTACCCACTCCTCGCTTATTTGTGGCTCTGTTGGCTGCGGTGATTCGGCACGCTTTCTTTTTCGCAGACCCGACCGTATTGATGTAACCTCTAAGTGAGTCGATTATTAACAAAAAATATCATTGTTACCTAAAGTTAAATAAAATTTCTTACCCCTAATTGTCTTTGGCATTTCTAATGGTATAACAACCTTCCGTCGAAGGTAGCTCGTCTTCTCGCCATATCGACCGGCGTGACGCAGCTTTAGCAATTCCAATGTGACAATCTCATTCTCCGTTGTAACCTGATGTTTGCCATCAGTGGATGGCGGTTTGGCAATCATATCATCCCACCGTAGACAAGACCATAATATTCTTAACTGCAATGCTATGCACGACAAAGTTGTCGCATTAGATGTACGATATGACCAGCACGTGCGGAACAGTGGCCTAGAGCACTGATACTGCCAAATTGAGTTATTTTTGGCGGCATGGTGAAAGCCACTTGCCGGAGCTTTACCGCCCAGTCGGGATAGCTTAAGCAGCTCGAAACGTGGTAAAATCAAAAGGCTTCTCTTTTGTTTATGAGTTAGGAAATTTGAGATGAGCGGATAGCGCGCATACGATGACTTCTTAACGACTGTTGCTTTATCATCAGCTTTTACTGATTGCTCGTACAATTTGGACTCATCACGCAAGAGATAGACACGCCCCCGTGTTGAAGTTGCAGAGTATACACGCTCATTACCACTTTCGAAATACTCTCGTTCGTATTTAGTGACATCCTCACGCTTAACCGGACGCTGAGTGATGGGAAATCGACGATTTTGCTTGTTGAGAGGTATATCTTTATCCAAGGTTTGATCTAAAACATCTTTAGTGCCAATATATGCCTTTTTAGGTTTTAGTGTGCGTTTCCGACGCAAACCGGGAAAACTATCAATTTCATCGATATTTGCCGTTGAGCTCGGAACGCTCGCTGCCACGGCTAATGAATCTTCTGTGCTCTCAATTTCAACATTGCTGCACACGTCCATATTCTCGATGTAGTCCATTTTGTCCGAGTCTTGCGTGTTTGAATCGGGATGTAAGTTACTAGCAGAATTTTGCTCTTCCACCTTAACTGTTACTTTATTCGCATCCTCGGGTTCGCTCTGCAAACAATCCGTAATCAGATGACTACTAAAGGTTATAGCATGCGCACGCGCCTGCTCCCAGTCTTGCAGCAAGTCGAGAGGGGCCTCCGCTTCAGATAATTTGTGATCCTCAGACTCATCAATTGCCAGCTGAGCAGACTCCTTCTTGCCTTCTGTCAATTTCTGTTCAAGTATGGACGGCTTTTTTACTGCACCCAAAATTGCTGCCACCGTCTCCTTTGAGCCATTTCCCGCAGTGTGTGCCTTTCGTAGTAGCAACAGCAGCTCCTTTTTTGCACGCGCCTTTTGCAGACATAGAGGCGAGTAGCAAGTGTTTTGGGTTATTTGTGAAACGGCGTTTGAGTTTGTATTGCATTCCTTTGTGTAGCAGCGGAAGGTTTTAGCGTAGCGGTTTAGTTGACTGAATTGCAAACGAACTGTTTGTATTTGCTTGGCAAGGGAGTTGACGAGATCCAAGTTAACGTTGCATGCAATACTTTTGCCTGAGGATTCAGTGAGGCGCATTAAACGCTTCTCCAGATACGTTTGCTTGCTAGTGCCAGTCCCAGCAATTGATGGTATTAAAAGCGGCTTAACATCTCCATCACTATCTGATTTCATTGCAATTTTTTGCTCAACTTCTGCTAATTTGGTGCGTCTCTCCAGCAAATCATCCAAGCGACATTTGCGCGCCACCTTTGGATAATAGATGCGACCAGGTTCATTTAAAGCTTTGCTTACATCAATGATCCCATTCACTCGCTCACCAACGTCTTGGATGACATTGACGTGTGTGTATTGCTCGGGCAAATAATGGCACACCTGACCCGCCTCGTGGACTGACTTACATTGCTGTATAAAGCGATGAGTTCGAGGATCAACAAGGATAACTTCGTTTACATTCTGCTCTTCGCCCAACGTGTAGTGCACATAGATGCGATTGTGTGACAGAGGCTGAGCACGGGTCCGTCGGACACGAACTCCGCACCGTCGACTGCTAGATAGCCAGAGCCAACCCCATTGGCCATGCACCCGATACTCCTCGCCCTTCTGCTTCCATACCTGGTGCTTCAAGCCCAGAGAATATTTGATGTAATTGAATGCGAGGCGATTGCGCTCCTCTTCATCGTCGCGTTCACGTTTTTCACGTTTTTCTTGTTTCTTGCGTTCTTCGCGCTCGGCGCTTGTGATGCGTTGCAAGTGCATGTGTCCAAGCTGTTCGTGCCACACATTTGCAAAAACTACGTTTTTAAGGGATGCTTGAAACAACAACATAACAGCAGCAAAATCAGTGGCCCGTTTGGCATTCATTACAGCAGTATTCCACATTTTTTTGTTGTTCAACCAATTGGTATTCATAAAAGAGGCCGCTATATTCGATTCAAAATTGAGCAGGGTTTGTCGCAGTGTTGTTATAATATTATCGCATGTTCCCATTGTAATGCCAATCCATTTGAAATCGGAGGCAGTAGTCAGGGAAAATTTGTGGGATAGGTGACGTCGTTTATCGCGTTCCTCATTCCGTTGTGGCTTGTTTAGCGCTATGGGATTAGTGGCATATTGGTTAACATAATTCTTAAAGCCCTGTTCCATACCCAGCTTAAAGTAGAGTGTGCCACTATTTAATTGATTCGTCTTTTGACGTGTTACCATTTTGTTCTCTTCAGCTTTCTTTGCGATTTCAGCTGCCTGGTCATCACTTTCTTCGGCTAGAGTATCGGCCGGCTTTTTTTCGAGAAGTTCTTGTGTAGCCTCTTGCTCTAGATCTAATAAGGTGCGCTTGTTATGTTTGTGCTCATTGGTGAGCGACTCTGTTAGTTTCATTTGCCGCTCTATTTCTTCCTGGCGGTCGGTTAACTGGGAGTAAAGCCGAGTCTCCAACTCTGCAGCATCTAAACGTTTTAGTAGCAATTCAAATTTTGCTCTTGTGCTATAGTACCAACAAGTGCCGTCCATCTGATCTTCAACAAATATGCGCCGCGCAATAAACCAGTACTTGCGGCCATGTCGATCTACGCCGAGAGTATCGTGACGTATAAGGACGCCCTGTTTCTCCTGCGTCAGGATACAATCCATAACGCCAGTAACCTTATGTGATCGGCAGAGACCACACTGCCAGTCCTCAGTCGGTACATCGTTCATGGGTGGATCTACACACTCCAAGTGATAGACTGCAGGGCATGTTTCACAACACAGCAAATCCCCCAGGCGATGGCAGACGCGACAATGATCATCATAGTGAATGGGACCTTCCTGCACCATCACGTCGCGCACTGAGTTTGCAGTTAGAAATTGATCGCCCAAAAACTGTAACACCACCAAACGATGCTCAACGCCATTATAGGGATATTCGCCTGTGCTCAGTATTTTATAAACATTACGATCGAATTCTCTGTCACTTTCCACATAGCTGCGCAACACCTCTGGCCATGTGATTGCATCTATCAGGTATAAACTGATATTAACTGTATCCTTTTGATCAAGTGGCCCAAAGTGTGTGCCCTGTACATCCTCCTCACGTAATATCGCCTTCAGAAGCATTATGTGAATATCCGTGAGTAGTGCACTCTGCTCCTCGCAGACTAAAGCCGCACAAAAGTCCTCAAAGCGAAAGGGCGAGAGTCGCACCAGGTGGCGGAAGCGTCTCAATACTTCATAAATACTTAAAGCGCGCAAAACATGCGCATTGTCTATAAATAAATCCTCGGACGAATCGGGTAATTCGAGAGCCGCATATTCTCGACCCTCTTGCAGCCAAATCGGCTCCGGACTTGGTGGACGCGATAAGCGGCCAAGCCCGTTTTGTGTAAAGCTGCAGACTGAAAATTCGGACTCACTCTCATTGGCTGCATCTAAACTCTCGTCGTCGCTCGGCGTAAGTAACAAATCATCTTCATTATCCGTTTTTTCCTCATCCGAATCTCCGAAATCCGAGCCATAATGATACTCCGACTCGAAACCTATCACAATTCAAAGGGAAAACAATTAAATATACATTTGTATGGGATTTGTGTATACCTCTGCCTATGTGTTCAACATTTACCTTTTAAACGACCAGAGCTGTCTGTCATTTTAAACCCCTCTTCTTTCTATTACTATTCTTAGCTTTAAACCAGAGTTGGTAAATCTTCGTTTGAAAAAAATCTAAAGTAAATATAAGACTTTAGTCGCTCCTTTTGCGCTTTTCTTTCCTTTGGGTATTTTCTTTCGACTAACAGCGTTGCAATTAATTACAATTTGTAGAATTTACTTTAAAAATCAAGGACAATAGAACATTACTTTACTTGTCAATCGGAATAGAATTTTACCAATTTGCTTTATTTCAAGAGTTTGACAAGTTTTCTAAAGGCTGCTGAGTCTACAATAAGCCCCCCAGATAGTAATATATGTACAAGTATTCATAAGGAAAAGCTTGCTCCAATACTAATATAGATGTTCCCAATGTAGTTCTTAGACTTAGCTTGGTATTTCTAATAATATTTACCTTTTCTGCCTGAATAATTGTTAGCGCTGGCGTTAGCGTGGACATTTGATTTACGTCCCCGTCCACGTTTGACGCCGCTGCCGCGACCACTACGATTGTTGTGGCTCCCGCGACTGCACTCATCGCTTTGTGGAGAGATGCAACGTGACGCTGATGGAGTACTTGGCTGGGATTTTCCTTCACTGAGATATTTCGGCTTCTTGAGCATATGATAGTTGAAACGCCCCGATGAGCGCTCATTTGGCGTCTTTGGCGGGCGTCCACGTTTCCGGCTACCGCGACCACTCATTATATTCTGATCAGCCTTTGCGTCGTTATGCTCAATGCCTTAGCCACCCACTTTCTGCTTAAAACTATCGTACGTGCGTGTGTGAAAGTGTAAGCGTGTGAACGTACTGTAGTACCTCAAATACGATTTATTTTCTTTTAGTTCTTCTTGAAAAAACGCACATTATCTAAAACAAAATAAAGATTGTTAACACAAAAACAATTTGCTGGCAACTGTAACAGCAACTGTAACTAGCACTCGCTCGCGTTCATTTGCGCATACAGTTGTATTGGCGCATATATGTATGTATATACATGTGCGGAAAAAATCGATAAAATTCACAAAATCTTTAAGAAATGCCATTTTGTTTACAAATCACATATTGAAAAAGTTGCTAATTGCTTGTATGGCGCCAAAATCACACGCACATACACGCACACACATACATACACATATATATCCATTCAAATCACACAGTTAAGGATGCTTTGCCCTGAGCCTGGTTTGGCAAATTATACATTCTCAATGCTTAATACAGTGCTGGGTACTCGACACTCACAATTCTTCGTGTCTGCCTATGTGTTTTGAATAGGTGTATGTGTGTGTGTGTGTGTGTGTGTGTGTGTGGAGCTAAAGCCAACGCACATTGTCCGCCATTTATAAAACCGAAAAATTTTTTACAGACAGCCACAATAGTGTGTGATTAACACAATTGACATTACTATTTAATGTCATTTACCCATTGCACTTAGCATCACATAGCGGACGCGTTGTAATATTTTTTAAAATATTATTTAACTGTTTTTAAGCAAACTGTTGGAGTGACTTTTACCTTACATTTTACTTCTGCACTAACAGCCCGAATAGCGTACAGTCAGCCAATCACAGCGCGTCTTTCATTTGCTAATGCCGCAAGCGACACCTAGTAGTCGTTTAACGTACTAAAGTACACATGGTTGCATGCGAGTCATGCGCACTGATGCAATAGATGTTGTTATCGATATTTGGACACGGAATCTTGGAATTTCAAATTCGCAATCGAGTGATGATTGTGCCGGCTTTGTTTTTTTTTTTCTTTTAGTGCAATTAACTCTTTCTTAGTACTTAGAACCATAAATTAAATAGTTCCTTTTGTTATTTGACTTTAAATAAAAAAAAAGATTTTGTAGCCCTGCCATATTCTTCATTATCTTATCAGTAAACTATGCGCCTATAGCACTTATGTGCAGACGCTTTATTCGCTAGTATTACTTCATTGTGCGTTCTCGTCGGATGCATTTTAAAAATAATTTCTTAAATGTTGGATACAAAGTCTTTTCATAAAATGCTTACAATTGATAATTAGTGGCTTGTCGATACCTCGCCATAAAAAATAATTTACATGTTAAACGGAAAAAACAATTCCGTTTATTAGCATATGAGAGAAAACGATTTCAGATAAAGATTCGTTTCCAAAACATATACACCTGTCTCCCTTAATGCCTTTTATCCACAAGTTCATTTGTAAGTATATACTTATAATAGTTATTATAACAAGCACCAACTGTGGGTTGTGTTCCGTAGTTATTACAGTGTTATATTACAAACACATCTCTCCCCCTATATTGGGCTGTTTCTTTGCTTATCATTGCATTTATTAATAATTTGTTCACTGACTTTAGTTGGAATTTATATATAAAGATACAAATGTAGGTAGGGTATAACAAAAATTTTTGATCAGCACATTCTTATTAATATGACGTCATGTGTGTGTGCGTTTGATATTTTGAGTAAGCAGGGGAAAGATAATACTTTTTTTGTATGTTGGTGGGTAGAGAGAGAAATTAAAGACGCATACAAAATTACATAGATAGTTTTAAGGGTTCTTATGTATGTTACCTATAGTGAAGAATACGGTAAATAACTTAAATATTAGTTGGATCATCGTAATAAGCGAATCGCGTTAATTATTTCATAAAGCATATCATAACACTGACATCAGAAAATTATTATGTTAGTTTAGACGAAACAAAACGGGAGTTGTGCTTCTATCACGACTCTTTATACATATGTATGTATTAACAATATTATGTATTAACAATATTAATGGAGGGAGTAGTGCAGAAATCCGATGCAACTGTTCAAACAAAGCATTTTAATGGTGATATTACTCACATCTTGGGAAACTACATAGAAGATTTTACCGCACAATAGCAGTTTTCTATGTTTTTCTTTTTATATACTCTCGACAGAAGAAGCTTACATTTGTTTTATGTATCTATGTTCTTCATACCAAATGAACAGAATATTTTGTCAAATAGGAACCAACTTCAAAATATCTTTTCTATGTCAGCTATATGACGTGGTTCGATATTAATAAGATTTTGCAAATATATGAGGACCTTTGTGAAACTTATAAATCTCGATTTTGGTTAAGTTACCTTAATAAAAAAAAGGATCGTTTCTATTGCAGCTTTAAGATGTTGAGACTAATTCGCATAGAATCACACAGACGGACAGACGGTCATGGCAATAACAACTTGGTTGCTTTGGCTTTGAGTATGTGTACTTTCTGGGTTTTCAGATGTCTGATTCTATGGGTTACACATTTTATAACAAAATTATAGTACACTTTACAGGAGTATAAAAACGAAAATGTATGTATGGACGGGCAGGATTTTCTTCTATATTAATCAGGGCTGCAAATCAAAAACAAAATCGGCTGTCCTTTGTTTACATTTTCAAAATATTAAACAATTCAATTTAAAATTTTTTTATAGGTGGCCAAAGCCCCGAATTGCACCCTTGTTTTTAATGTATTGTTTCTTTCCAGTTTAAAAAAAATATACAATATTTTTAACATGGGGTCCAACTATCAGAAAATCAGATGGCAATTTTATTTTAAATTATATCTAACCACATATATTTGCATTCTTTTGGTTATGAGTAAAGCTGAAGATGTTCCAAATGCCACGGACGTATATGATACTAACAGGTTCTAATATTAATGAGCCTTTTATACCGATAAATTAAATAACCGTCTTTTCTATAGCACAGGCACGACATTTGGGCAATTAAACAATCTAAGCTCTAGCGAATTTGATACAATTTCAACTCCAAATGTCGCTGCTAGTAATATATCAACACCGGCCCCGACAGCGGACACAAGCATGCGAATTCCACAGATCACATCAATACAAAGTCAAAACCAACCCGTTGACTGTTCACAGCGTGAAAAATCAAGAAAACAGCCAATAGCTATATCGACCTCAAGATTACGGAAGTGCTGTCCGCTTGGAGAGAACCTAGACTTTTATCGCGAAAACCAAAGTGATTCAATGTGTGATAACGCCGTATTAAATTTTGAACCAACTGTCATAAGTGCGGTACTTTTTGACAATTGCATTGAAGATTTGGAAATACCTACAATATTGCCCTATGAAATTGGCAATCCATGTAATAGGTAAGTTTACTCCGTACAATTATTTTTTGCAGCCTGCAAAGCTTTTTTCTCAAAAATAAGTTTCATCAGAAACTATAATAGTTACAACTACCTTACTTATTCTGATACTAGTAATCATTTCTTTTAGTCCCAGGCATGCAACACATTGCGATATATGTTTAGAACTCTGAAACTCTTTGTATTTATTGCAGTGTTACCTTTTTCAGCTCGTTTCAATACGAAGATCCGGAAGACCTGTTTTTTGTATTGCAGGATGGGTCGCTGTTGATCATCGACAAAAACGGAAATGAGTCTTACACAGTAGAGGAAAATTACTGCTTGGACCAAGATAAATCTGGCCATATGTTAGCATTTATATGCATCACCCAAGTTGAAGAGGTTTCCAAAGCGAAGATTATCATTGTAGCCGTGATGATGCTCATAAGCATGCCTTGCCTACTCTTGGTTAGTTATTTGCATCTGACTTTGCATCTATTGCGCAATTTGCATGGGTGGTCCTTGGCATTGATGTCCTTGTGCTTAGCCTGCGGCTATTTTGTGCACTCGGTGGTGCACATATACGGAATACCAGCGGGTGGCTCCATTGGATACGTTATACAGTTCTTTATATTAAGTTTTTTCTTCTGGTACTTCTGCATTTGCTGTAATGTGCTCGTGAATATTTGGTACAAACTGCCCCACTACGTACAATTTTCTAAGATGTGGACAATTTTGAACTTTGGAGCATATTGTGTATTCGCTATTACTGGACCAGCGATTCTAGTCTCGCTGACTGTGCAAAAGGGGCTGCCGGGAATGCCTTCATATTTTCAGCAGGGACTCACGGAATCAATTCGAGAATCCCAACGTTACTTCATACCACCAGTATCTACACTATTAGGTCTTAGTTTCCTTGTGAGTCGATGCAATAAAAAGAACATAAATTATTAGAAGACAAATATATTAATACTAATCGTTTTTAGGCAATGATAATATCGTTCTTTGGCTTTCAACGAATAAAAACTGATGGTTACCTGCGTGCCGATAAGGATGAAAAGATTGATTCTACTCCAATTCGTCAGTTTGATCAGCAGAAATACGAGGATGTCAAAAAAGAGTAAGTTACTGCAATCCCTTTATGTATTAATTTTAATCTGTAAACCCATAAATAGCGCAAAATGTGTAGCTTTTTTGGGAATTATTATAATACTAGCTTGGCTATTCGAAATAGTAACCTTTTACTCGCCTGGAAATGAAGGTAATATATTAGTGATAAAATATTAGAATATCATATAACTGCATTTATATTTTAGTTTATTTATTACTCTGTGATATGATAAATGGACTTCAGGGCCTGTGGATAATGCTAATATTTCTTGTAGTACGTAGACGACGCACTATAATACTTCGTTGGTGGTATGATCGCGGTACGCATACCATTGTTGAGGGCACAGAAATGCAACCAGTTAACAAAACAGTGAATCCTACATAAGAAATTAATCATAACTCATTAATATATATATAAATTGTTTATTGCATTTCACAAAGAAAGTTGTTAATATTGTTTTTGTTGTCACTTTCATACATTGAGTGTGATTGAGTTTAAATGTGGTTGCGGAGGTAAAAGAGAGACTGAGGGATAATCATTTTTAAGGAAAAAGCAATTTAGTTCGGTTATTTGATGTTGATGTCACTAAGTTTAAATCATGCAAATCTAAATGTTTTTTCGGTTTTTTCTTCGCGATTACAAGGAAAATTCATTATATGGTGATGAATAAATAATTGTTTTTCATACGTATGCATTTCAATTGCGCATCATTTAGCACTATAATACTATTTACATATTGTATGCAACGTAAATGGGATCTAATTGATCGGCCAGAAAACCATCCCGTAAATGCATACGTTGCTTTTCTCCACGACTGTTAATGGGAACAACACCTGAAATACAATTGCAAGTCGTTTATTAAAAATGCTTATTTGGTATTAAAGGCAATTTACCAGGATCAACCACCACAACAACGCCAACAATGAGCTGGTGCTCTTCCAGAACAGTGTTTGTAACTAAGGGCACCAAATCGAGCGCCTCCGATTCGTTACCATCAAGTTCTACAACTACAACCAATAAATTTGTCCATGTAAACACCGCGCTGTGGGGTAGTACTTATTGATTCATTTTTAGTGTTCCGGAAATGGGACTTGTAAAACTTACCATTCGGCAATTTTCTTATGACAGCGTAGTACCGAATTTTCAATATCTATTGGATGATAGTTCATGCCTCGCAACGAAATCACTTCGTCTAAAGCACCAACCACATAAACAGCATCGTGCAATTCCTGATCATTTGAATTAACGGCACCTCCCACAAGGCTATGCTCAGAATTACCACCCAGGGAAGTATTTGAAAAGTTTAATTGTAGTTGGCTCATGGAGTTTAAGGACTCTGTGTCACTATCACGACTTGCTACACTTGGTGTGGTTTCATCTAATATAGAAGCTGCTTGAGAGCATTCTGTTCGCCGTAGGAAACCCAAATAGCCGGTACGTGCATACATTTCGGAGGTGGCTCCAGTGACCAATTTTGCATTGAAATGATCATTATAGTCTGTCTCATCGCCATAGATGGTAAAGTAACCATTTGCATTGTGTGGGGCTTGGACCTACACAAAAAGATAATTATACTTGACTACGTGTTTAGTTTAATAGAAAAAGCTTACCCAAATTTCACCTAAATGTGAATCGCCGCAGTGTCCTTTAGTTTCTGGATTTGCTATGATAACTTTCACACCAGGTAGCAGCTTGCCAGATTCAATTAGGCATAATGAGTTGGGTGCGCCTCGCTCCACCAATGCAACGCGATTATTGCGCAATGCCCTAAGATCTACATACACCTGTGCACTCTCTGCTGAGCTAGCACCCTGAACACATATGGCTGGGTTAACGCGGCATCCAAAGGAGGTTGATACGCAGCGTGTATTCAGTCCAAGTCCCTGGAATAATTTGCAAAACTGTTGGGTCAGTGTCACTCGCGGACGCTCTTCACCAACAACCACGCACGTGCGCACGCATCTTAGATCGACATTACGTTGTTTGAGCGAGGGCACGGAATTACTCAACGCTTTAGTACATAGCTCAATCACACCATAAGAACAAAAGGTATCGCGTACGCGATGCTGGGAGAGCGTTGAAAGCCACAGACTGGGATTGGCCTCTACTTCATAAGGGGCAATGAGAATGGAATGGTGGCCGCTGTATACCCCAATAAGAGTCCACATTACAAAGCCAAGGCCACAATACGGATCCAGACATAAGGCGACATGACGTGAAGGATACAACTCACAAGCCAGCTTTAAGCTGGCGCACAGACTAGACAGAGATCTGTTATACAAATATATCATGTTAGATTTAAGAAAGGATAGCTGTTTGGTGGTTTCTTACCGATGAGTTATGTTGACACCACTTAAACGACCACATGTGGACACACTGAAATCTAAATAGGCGCTGGAGTCCAACGAGACTGTGGCTATGCCAGCCAATTTACGCTTTGGGTTATCATCGATATCTAGTATGGGTGGCCACGTCTTTGGATCAATTGATGACGCGGCCTCTCTTGATTTCAATAACTTAATAATTGGTTGAATAGAGAGCACAATTCCGCTTTTGGAAACATCGACAATCATGCGAACAGTGGGTAACGTTGTGATTAAATTTTGTGGATGCGGTGGTCTAATTGTTATAGGTATTGCCCCAAGATAAAGACATCCATAGAATGCGCACAGCAAATCCAAGCCAGGTGGAAATATGAGTGCTAGAAAAAGAAAAATTATAGTTTCATCTTGTACGACTTTAAATATATAATCTAAACTTACCAACATGATCACCTGGTTCAATTTTGCCTCGTTCTTGCAACAATGCAGCTATCTTTTCAGCTCGTTTGTGCAACTCAGAGCAGGTCAGCGTTTTTGCTATAGCTCCTGCGCAAATAAATTGCGTTTACAATGAAGAATTATTAACAATACTCGGACTTACCCTTTGCATTAAGCAACGTAAATATTATGTGATCTGGAGAGGTGTTTGCTCGCCAGCGTAAGACGCCAGTTATTAATTGGGGCTGATAGGATTAATGATAATTAGTTATAAATAATAAGTGTAACTAATACTTAATAATAATCATTAAACCTACCTTACTTAATGATAATCATATGACCTACCTTACGTTCCCCGTCTTCAGCCATTCCTACATCGCGCCCGTGTGCAACAGCCAAACGATTGCCCTGCACTAAATTTCCGACCATGACGGAGGCGGGTCCTACACCCGTGTCTGTAATACCACAGCCAGATGATGAGCTTAGTTTTGCAGTAGTTTGCACACCTTTTTGATTTTTTTTATGTTGGTTAGTAGTGGAATGGTTTGTTGTTTTTGTACAAGGATTTGAATTGATATGCAATAACAGTATATGAGATATAAGTTGTATATATGAATTAATTTCAAACGATTTGTGAATTTGTTAATTGAAAGCAATGCAATGCAATTAGTTTAGTTGACATATTTTGAGTTGTTTTGTTTGTCGTTTTTATAATACAGTGTTATTGTTTTTGTAGTTATTGAGGTGAGTGTTGTTGTTGTTTATTAGTGGTGCGTATTTATTGTAGTGGGCATAGTGGGAAGCAACCGCAGCAGTTCATTGTTGTTGTAGTTGTAGTTGTTTGTTGTTGGTGATTAATAAAAAAGAGGAAAACAATATTTGTATTTTTATCAGACACGAATGTATAAAGAAAGCATAGATAGGAACCAATAAAGCCAATGGATTAACAATAGGTTATATACTACCCGCTTAGCCAAAACAAAGATCACTCACCTTGATGCAATTCTCGCGGCTTTGGTAGATTGGTGACGCATGTGTGTGGACACATTAAAACATTTGCCGGATGGAGTGAACCCTCCAGAAAACGACGCCTCGCTTCGCATAAATGTATTCCCCCAAGTGGTGTCTTCGGCAAATGATTTGGTGGAACAAGTGCCAAACAATAAATTCCAACCTGATGTATGGAATCAACTGCTTGGAGCACACGTGACATCCACTGGAAACTTTCCTCCTCCGAGCAGTCAGGTCGTTGCTCGGCTATGACACAGACGCGCTCATCGCGCAAAACTTTAATGCTGAATACGGCAATGCGCCCTCTATAGATAAATCGCATGGGTTCGACAGCTAGCACTGTTGCAATGATGTCATCGGCGTTGTGCTTGCGACCAGTAACAGTCATAAGGCCGTCGCGTGATCCGCACACAAAAACCAAGCCACCGGGTCCAAGGAAGCCTAAGAGCCCTGAACGTACATAATATTCCTCGCTAATAGGCTTGGGTGTACTAGCAATTGTACCGCCCCCGTCTTTTGGTTGCTCTGGATCTTCAAGGAGCGGTTGGACTCTAAATGTCGAGTTGGTCATTCCATCGAGTCCAAAGTAACTGGCACCAGTTGAGCCACTGGTCACACATATTTCGCCGACTTGATCCGTTTTACACAGCACCGGTGCGCCTTCAGAGCGGACAACCACCATTTGTGCGGCTGGCATAACCTGTCCGCAGTCTTGTAATGTAAGGGAAGTCAAAGAGTCTTCGCTATCAACACGCACGACGCCGTGCGAAAGGGCGGCCATGGATAACACGCCGCGTCCAGTAGCTGACTGACAGAATCCAGTGGTAGACGAGCGACCTGGCCGACGCAGAGAAACTGTAAAGACCTCTGAGCTGCTGGCGCAGGGGCAAATGGCGTCCGATCGCAGACCTTTTGCTTGGAATACATTCAAAAACTGATCGCATGATGACAATGACCAGGGATTGGCACCATCGGCAACAAGCAGCATGCGCAGTGAAGCTAATGAGATATCCTTGTGATCCTTAGTGGCTAATAAGCCCCAGTGCAGATCTCGGCTCTTTACGAGACAGCAAGAAGCACGATGTTTTGTTATTAACTGCATCCAAGATGAGGGCCGCAGCTTCATCAGAGCATAGGGAATGAACACCACATGCATGCCATTGAGTATAGATGTCAAAACAGCATGCCACAAGCCAACTTCTCGTTTAAAGTCCAATACACAGACAATTGTTTCACCCTCAGTGTAATGACAGGCCATTGTCAGAGCACGACAGTGATTTATCATGGCAGCGCGACTAACAGTGATGCCTGAAATAAAAATTTTATATATGAATACTAAATTAATATATTATCCAAAAAGGAAGTAATTATATCTGGTGAGCAATTCGTTTATAAGTAACTATGATTAAATATGCTTTAGGATGCAAAAATATGAAAATCAAAGCACGCGAATCAATCAAGGAAGGGCAGCTTAGTATTTTTCTTGCGGCTATAAGCCTGGAATATTCCATATGAATTTGTAATAATGTAACATTTTTATTATAAACTTACCCATTACACTGCCCTCTTTATCAGTAGTATACTCAATATACGCAGCAGCCGTATCTTCAACGCGCAAATTGCCTACATTAAAGTCTTTGGGTGGTTTGGGCAAATGCTCAGTAACAAACCATTGTAATCTTGGCCAGCCTTTCAGTTTCGCTATCTCACCAGTTGCAGACTTGGGCAGACCCTTTAAACAAGCCTCTGAGGTGAGTGCCACGGTTATAGCACATGAACTTAGTAAAAATCCCACTTGCTGTGGTGGAGTGTCCGAGCTTGAAAGCGGTAACTCAATTGGCAAAGGCACCAAACCACGAAACATGCATCCATACCACGCAGTTATGAAGCTAAAGAATTCTCAAGAATATTAATGCCGTAAAAAATAATTGTATCATAAATCTCACCTTAAGGGATCATTATTTGGATACACTAGGGCTACACGATCTCCTGGTTTTAGTGTGACCTGTTCGGGACCTTTACTGAATATCTTTGTGGATAGCGCATAAGCGATTTTTTGTGCACGCGAAAGTAGTTTCCCATATGTAAGGGTTGTGGTTATTTTACCGTTAGGATCTAATACCGTAGCCATCGAGCTTTTAAATGAATTCATTCCATAGCGTTGAAGTGCACACTCTAATGTACGTGGTAAGCCAGCTGGTATAGAAAGTTGTTCACCTTGCACCGGAGTCATGGTGCTGCCCTCGGGCTTGGGTGCATTCGGATCCTTGGGATTAGCAGCAATCTCAAGCTCGATGTCGTTGTCCTCATAGAACTCGGGTAGCGGCCGTCGTTTTGGTCTTTTAAGGGTATTCAGCAACTGTTGAATCTTGGCCGATACTTTCCACTTTCCATTAGCATCTGTTTCATTAAGCTCTGTTTGAGAGACGTTAACATAACGTGTAACTCGGTCTGCAATGCGATGAGCGTTGTTGAACTGGGTTATGTCTGGTGCATTAACTGTTTGGAATATTAAATAAATTAATAATTGGTTCCAATTAATGAAGTAAACGACTACTATACTTACAATGCTTCTGTTTATAAGCTTTATCAGTAAATTCATTATCTCTTTTATATCCAATTGGTGGTGACTCTGTGCTCGAGGTGTCCGATGTAGGCTGGCCATATAAATTACAATTAAACAATTAAATTGTAAAAAATAAAAAGTATATGCAATTCACAACGAGAAAGAAAGGCTATTTTCGGCACGGCGAAGATCTAATACCCTTGCAAATCCAACCTTTTCATAATGCTTATAGTGCTGTGCCCGTATCTAAGAAGCACAAGGAAAATAGTTAATGCCGAGTTTGGTCAAGATATCTTGATAAACAAAAAAGGTTTTTAATCAAAAACCTAGTTTTCGACCGATCGCTCCTATGGCAGCTATATAATGTAGTGGTCCGATCTTAATAGGATTTTGCATATATATGAGGAGCTTAGTAAAACTAATAATTGCCGAGTTTGGTCAAGATATCTTGATAAACAAAATGTTTTTTTATGCAAAAACTTATTTTTCGACCGATCGTTCCTATGGCAGCTATATGATATAGTGGTCCGATCCAGCTGATTTTCACATATGTGCTGCGTGCAACAGAAAGAGGGACTTCTGCAAAGTATCATTAAGATAGCTTTAAAACTGAGAGACTAGTTCGCATAGAAACAGACAGACGGACAGACGGTCAGACGGACATGGCTCTATCGACTCGGCTGTTGATGCTGATCAAGAATATACATACAAAATTATAATACCCTCTGCAAGGGTATAAAAAGAAAGCACTCTATATGTGCGTGTACATTTGTTATGATGATCTACCGTGATGATAATGGATAATCAAATACAAATATTCTGGTTCTTATCAATGTATATATTATCAACTGTTACCAGTCAGAGTCACCAATGGATTGAACCAAACAATAATTGAACAAAAATAATAATAATTGCAAAAAAATGCTACTCTTAGCACTTGTGTACCCACCAGAGGCGGCAAATTCTGCGGTGGACGTCGTTCTGCTGCGCTGCCCGACAAACTATATTTTTGAATTGGCGCTTGAGATTGTTTGACATCATGCCGTAAGTGCTGTTGCTGTGCGATCATCGATGATTCACGTATTGGTGGCTTAATGATTGGTTCCGGAGGCTGCATATTCTTACTTATATGATCCCGTGGATAATTATATTCCTTGTCCGGTGAAATAAGCTCCTCTGGTATCGATTCGTCATCACTGGATGAGTCCAATTCATCGTTACACCCAGGGCTGCGATTAAGCACGGAACTCCGTTTTGAGGGCATTGGCAAGCTAGGCTTTGGCCGACCTTTCAGCGCAGCCAGTGCCTGTTGTACAGCTTCCTGTCGAACCTCTTTAAAAAAAAATATGTGTCAATTCCATGATGAAATATACCGTTTATTATAGTAGATCTACCGGAATGATATCGCTTCTCATTGTGCGTTACTTTACGTTGTGTTCGCCGTTGTCGACTTTGGCTGCTATTTGTTGGGGGATGTGGTGCATGGTTTTGAAAGGTGTTTGGCTCGCGTGTGTTTTGATAGCCGGGATCTCCTACGGCACCGCCTTGGGGTCGCATATTCTCATAGCCAGGTACACCACCTTCGCTCTGAGGTGTTGACGATGATATTGATATGGCTGAGCTCGGCTGATGAAAGTCTGATTTTTTGGAATGCCTTTGTTGTGATGAGGGTAATGAAGGTACTTCAGTCACATAACTATACCCCTCACTAGAGACAATGACGCCATCATTGTTTACGTTGCTGTTGCTATTGTTGGACTCTTTAATGTTGTAGTATGGCGGTGGCGGCAAGTTCTTTGCTTTCTCCACATCGTTTACTATTAAGAATCACGTTGCTCCCATTAATATATTTATATTCCCAAACCAAAGTTAGCATACACATGCTAAGATTACTTACATTCCTGTTTCTTCAGGAAGGGTTGCAATAACTTTGTCCGTTTCTTTTCGTATCCTTTTTGGGTAATGTCACCTAAAAAAAATACAAAATATGATCATTTGAATTGAAGGCTTTTATTAAAACCTGTGCTTGGCATGACTGTTATATGTATGTACATACGAATTACTATTATGTGAACATCTATACATATATACAAATTAAACCAAGCAAATACCGATATCTGAAATGGTCGTTATATTAAGCCAAAGCCAAAGCCAAAATTTAAATAATTACACTTTCTACTTAATATTCATAACTTATACCTAAATCATATCTACATGCTTATAAGCATTCAATTTGAGCTATCTTTAAGCAGATAAACCACATCTATAAGATATGCCATGTACATCGTTAATTGGTTTTGCTATGAATGTATGTATCTATATACACATACGAAGTTAATCTACCTCTTTAAAAAATTAAGGAGCCCCATCTGTTATATGTAGATATTTAAATAGATGTCGTATCATGTCATATGCATTCAGTCCTATAAATTGTATGTACTATTAGCACATGTGTAATCACGCAGGCACATATGTAAGTACATGCATGTATGTATGTACGTGTTTGCAGACACATGTCGTTTATCCCACAAAACCGCACACAACCAGACGCGTTATATCAATAGCAGTTAATGGGGTTGGCGCGATGACAAAGACCCCCTGTTTCTGCCTGTCCCTTTATCTACAACAGTAGCTGTATCTGTAGTGCTGAGTTTGTTGCTTCAAGTATTAGTTGGAATGCAGACATGACCTATAACAGACTACTACTACATCATGTTTCAGATATACATTAGATTTTTATGCTGGGCCAGGAGAAAGAAATAAAATTAACCCCATAGGAAATTACAACATGTCTAAATTGTACGTATACGATTCAGAATGATACCTTCAGATAACTCTAAATCCAATTCGGCCAATTTTTCGCGTACATCAGATGGTAGCGATGAGACGAGGTCCATCCCCAAAAAGTTGGCAGCCATCGCAGACATTTTTGCTGTGGACCGCTGTTATGTTTCTTAATGGTTGGAGTTATATGTTAGTACATAAGAATGTACATACAAAAGTATGTAACTTAACATACACACGCGCACAGACATACACACACACCGCTACTTTGCAACTTTGTTTCTAAAACTCGATCGATTTTCAATACATTATTGAGTAAAATTAACGAGGCTGGTATTTCGTCGAAGCTTAGTGCTTAATACAATAATTTTTTCACATTTAACTTAATATTTTGCATTATGCTCGCGCAAATTAACACATCACCCTATGTCAAATAGCCCTAACAGCAACCGCACCGACAAACGCGTATATATAAACAAAGAAAAAGTAGAAACTACAATTGAGAGAAACACGGGTATGCACATAAATGACCAATATTTGGCTCTCACTGCGCATGATGTCACATCTTAAGAACTTTGTGCTTACATTAAAAAATTTTAAAATGTTAACACTCTTTCTTAAATTGTTATAAAAATAATCGGAAATGCAACATTTATAAATTTATTTATTAATAATAAATCGAATAGAAACCGTTGAAACAGCCTTTAAAAATGTGACGTCATGCTACTTCTAGTTCACCGCCAAAGAACGGACCGACGCAGTGCACAACCTTTTCCTTTTTCCCTTTAAAATACCATGTTAAGCAACTGTAATAGGGATGATAAAACGTAATCTTTTATTTAAATCGATAAAAGAGACATATCTTCATCGTATTATTCAGCTAAGTTTCCAATTATACTTACGGCACTTTAACAACTAGTGCTTCCTTGGCTGATTAATTACAACAATTTAATTTTTGGTGCAAATTTGAACCCTATTTCATATTTGTTATTGTATTATTTTGTGGCGCCAGTGCTGATTATACACAATCGATAGTTCTGTGGTAACTTCTGTGGTAACTTCTTGATGAAGCCAGTTACAATTAAACACAAACAAAATTTAGATACATTTGGCATCAAAAAAAGAGACTAATTATTACATCTTTCTTATCTGAAACTTTTTAAAACGTCAAAGTGTCAATTTAAAAGGTTAGGCTGTGGATCTGATTGTCCAGTTCTTCAAAATGGGTGCGCATATGGTATTTTTTAAAGAAATTTCGTGTTTAAAATTTACACACTTCTCATTATCAGACAATTTAAAACTCCAAGATGAAGTAAAAGCTTTAAAAAATTTAGGTATGTAAACGTATTTAACAAGCCCATAGCAGCAAGTATTAACAATTATCATAGGAGAACACTTGGAACAGATGCTGAAACTAATCAGCTTCGAAGTTTGCGATTTACCGGACGACGTATTGACGTTGCTGGACAAGTGTGTGGAAATTCAGGCACACTGGCAATTAAACGATCTTAACATTAACTATCTACGTGAATTTTATTATACAAAAAAGCGCGAAAATATCGAAAACAAACTCACTGTTGCACAGCAATCGGCCACATTGAAAAAACTGAGAGGTTCTATAACAGAGGCGGACAAGGAAATAGCCACATTGGACAGGTATGGCATTTTATTATTAAAATACCCACTTTTTAATTTAAAACATACATGCAGATTTACAAGCACAGTTAGCAAGCGCTTGATATCGGCTACCGCACTGCAGCGCAATATTACTCAAATAGACGGCAAATCCAAGGGCCTTCTGGACAGACTAAAGGGGTTAAAAGTGCCAGATGACTTCAACATTGAATCGGTAATAGAGAAGATAGATATGCTTGAGCGGAGTAAATAAAGCATATAGTTATATTTTTTGTATAAAAATGATTTAAATGTTTTTATTTAATCAGTAAATTCAAAAAATTACCATAACACAAAATCAGCGAATTTAAAATAACCAAGTTCTAACTTTTTGCTTAGGCTTACAAATAGAAAAACTTTACGCATGCAAAAAAATTTAACTTGACTTTACTTTGATTCTATTTTATTAGAAGTTAACCGTTTACAAAATGGTCAATTGCTGCTAGTTTTTGTTTACGTGTTTACGTTGTTTTATGTTTTTAAAGAATTAGTAATGTTTTAAAAACCGTAAAACCGAATGCACAACGGTTTGCCAGCTGCTTAAAGCATACAAATGTTTCAAGTTTTAACCTTTCCTCCATTCCATATTGTTTTCTGTTTCTCAAATGTATCTAATCTGGTTATACGCATCATATATTTTTATATGTATATAAATTGGTGTGTTTATAGAATTAGTAATTTCATATTCATTAAGTTGTAGCTTGTTGTTGTAATGTATAAAGGGCGGGTATGTGGCAGACAAACATTTCAGCCAGCAGCGCGCGCTCCACACGCCGCCTGCCTACTGCAGCACGCTTTGAGCCGTATTCTAGCGGAACTCAGGCGCATCATCCTGCGTAATGTCACCGTACTTCCAAATGGCCAAATGGGCAGCCAATGCAGCATCTTGTGCAGTCCTATACTGCTCCAAAAGCTCCTTTAGTCGACGCTCACGTCTTTTCTCAACCAGTACAAGCCCATCTGCAACGAGCTGCTTTCCAAAGTCCGTCTTCGTTGTTGGATCGTGTAGGGTGGCTAGGTGGGGACCACCGCCAACCTTCAACTCAACATTTAACTGCACCTTGTGGTTCAGCACATCGTCGGAGAAGGCACGCAAAGCTTCCTCTTTATCCTCATTGTCTGCTGGCAGAGCGACTAAGGCAAGTGCATATTCGGTAGCATAGGGTTTCTCGCTGCTGAAGGCAGGTGGCAATGCAGCCAACCGGCTTGTAGGAAGAGTCTAAATTACGTAGAAAAAAATCGATTAAGAACGGTTATCTATTTTAATATGATTCACGTGGTAATGTCGCACATTGTTGACTGTCGCTGCGCTATGTCTTGGGTGCCCCCAACAACGTATATGCTATATTCATATGGAACTCGCGGAATTACACTCGCATTGAACAACGGCTGTTCCAAAAAATATGGCTCAACCGCTTAGTCTTTGTGCGTGTAAACCAACTCGCCTTAAAAAGAAGCACACTTATGGGTTGTTGTAGAGTTTGGTGTACACCACGTCATAGCCGCAGCTAGAGTCGAACAGATGAGCATTGTTTATGTGGCAAACTTATGACTCATGCGTTTCGCTTTAAGACGGAAACGGATCTAAGGAGCTTGCAGTGAATGCTGATTTTAATAACGATCTCTATACTTACTTCCTTATTACCGTAGTCAATGTACAGGACACTAGCGTTGTTGCCTTGAATGCGTTCTACTTTAGCGCGATACCATTGATTGTCGAAGGTGAACTGGGCAGCTACCAAGTCGCCTCGCTTGGGTGTATACGAGCCGGCTATAGGCGGATTAGCCTGAAAATCGGCGTGCAGCTTGCTCATCAATGTCTCCAACTTAGGACCGTTGTCAACGGATTGGGCGAAGAACGTCAGCGACTCGGTGATCTCAGTGACGATTACATTCTCATAGTTCACTTTGCGTTCTATCGGAACCTTCTCATCCTTATCCTCTTCAATGACGACCTTCTCTTCAGGCACTTGTTCTACGTAGTTAGCCCAAATGTTCTTTTTGGCAGCCTTGGCACGATCTTCGGCACTCTTGAGGAGTCGGTAGTACTCAGATTTCTCGGCACTAAAGTGGACCTCAGCTAGTCCTTCTTCGACAAGGGCCACTGATAGATTGACATTTTGATCAGTCCATAACCAGCCAATAACTGATGAGCCCGCTTTATCCGTGGTGTCAATATGCACGGAAACATCACGCTGCAACACCCGCTCACGTGTAAACGTGAGTGCCTCGTCCCCAAAGGGTTCTCCCTCCTGTGCTGGGACGCCATTGAGAGCAGGACGCGACGAACGTGGACACGATATGCCAGCGAGTAGGAAGGTAACCAAACAACTGTCTTTCGGTACGTACAAGCGCAAGCGTGATCCGCTGGCAACGAACTCAACGATGGCTTCTGTGCGCAAAGCACGTTGCCAGGAAGGCAAGTATTGCACCTTTATGCGGGAATGGTCGACAGTCAGATCGTTGACACGCAACGTCGCATTATCCTTCTTGGCGTGAAGACCCTTTAGACCTTTAATAGCTTGTTGCTCGGCGGCAATCAGTTGATCGTAGGCAGATGACCTTTGGTCATCATCCTGACGGTAGCGTACACACGTCGCAAGACCCTTTGCCACCATTGCTTCGGCAACGTTCTGTCCACCGATAAGAACAGTGTAACAGTGCTTTTCCGGAAAGTTATCGCGCAGTGGGGAGATGTAGTCCAGATTGCACTGCACTTTCTTGTTAATAAGCTTTTTGCGCAAGAACTCACGCGCGTCGAACATGTGCGGAATTTCATAAAGTGGACGATAGTTTTTGCCGCGTGGCGGAGCCTTCACGATTTCTTCACCATCTGTCCCAACTACAGCACGTTGGTCACGTGGGGGACGAATGGAAGAGAAGAATACCTTCTTCACCTGACCATTTGCCAGGCGCACGTTGATAGCATCGCCGTTGAAGACCTCGATAACGGTGCCTGTAAAATCCTTCTCCTTTGAGTTGAAAGTAGGCGTTTTCGCTTGGTAATCCTGCCATTGACGTAGACGCTTTTCCTTGGCGATGCGTTCGGCAGCTCGCAGCTTGTCAGCTCCTATAAATAAGTGAATAAATGCATAAGTAATCTAATTTGATTTTACTTTCTAATTATTGAAAGATTCTTGTAGACGGGGTGAAATGAACGCAGTGCCAATAAATCAGTCATTGTATTCTTGGAGTCCGTCGATTTAATCTGGCAACAGGCAGTTGATAATAATGCAGCGCAGCAAAAGGCTTAAGCCAAAATGGCGCTGCGTATGTCAACCCTGCTGCCAATTAGGATTTCTGTACTGCATGTAACCTCCTCACCTGTCTTCATCACAGCCATAGACCAGTCCACACACTTGGCCAAGCCTTCGCGCAGCAGCGATTCAGCAATGTTGCCCTTGGGGTATAAAATTGTGCCAATAAAGTTAGAGTTGTTAACAGACTCAAGCCTGATTTCGACATCACGCTGAAGTAGGCGTGTCTCCACATAGTAACGAGCCTCATCGGCAAAGGGAACCTTGACGCTGAGGTCAGGTTTGCCATCGGCGTCCAATTTAACACCTGGGCAGCGAATACCTGATATCATGAGCGTAATATAGTGAAAATCGGGGAGCAAAAAGGCACGCACAGTTGAGCCATCGCGCACATGCTCGATGATTGCCTTAACAGGTTTGCCGCCATAAATATCAACGATATGCGCTGGATTCTCATGGGCCCATTTAATGTTCCGCACTTTGTCCGCAGCGTTCACGTTATGCGCCCATTTGCCACGGTTGGCAGCACGTGCCTGATCCTCCAGTTCAATAAGCGTCTGCTGCTCTGGCGTAGGACGACCCTCACGGCGGACTGTTACGAGCCCCTCACGCACAATGGACTCAACGACGTTCTCACCAGTTTCTTTGTCCTTGCCGACCCACACGAAACCGTATTCACGGTTGGAATTCGCGGGTTTATCATAGGTAAAAGTAACTTCTACGCCAATCAATTTCTTGCGCAAATACTCGCGCGATTCCCAAGCCCAGGGTTCGTCCTTGGTCTCGTCGCCACCAGCGCCAGGCCGGCGCGCCAGCTTAGGTGCAAGCACATGCGAAAAAGTTATTTGTTTTTCCGGTGGAGGGGCACCTTTAGTCGCACGTATAACAACAGTGTCTCCTGAGAGAACCTGAAATACACACACGCCAAACAAGCAATGAGGTTAAAATTAAATCAAAACTTTAGACAAGAGTAAAACACGTGTTTCCGACAATACATTTGCCGACAGATGGCGCAGGCGCGGTGTTTAACAGGGCTACCACAAATTAGTGTGACCGTGGTTAATTTATTATAAGGCTAAATTCTACTTGGACAACATATCCAAGATGTTTTGTTTTTTCAGATTGAGATTTGAGATTCATTGAAATATTTCATAACAATTTTCGCTATCTACATATATAACGTGAAATTTACAAGAAAAATTGTTAATCTACATAGGGTTACTAGTCCAATTGAAGTCGAATGTCATACTCCTGTATTTTAATAGAGCCACACGTAAGCAAGGATTGATAACGTTAGCATATTCTATAGCGTATTCGCTTACACACACTGAACAGGGAAACAGGTGTTGGCATGCGGTGGCTTTGCGGCTTTTTTAAATATCAACAGGTCTTTCACCTATAAGTTCACAACTGAAAAAGTGGAATGCTGACGCAGCATTGAACTATGCCAACGAAGGGAACTAGCAAGTTGTGCCGCTAAGATGTGTATGCAACGTCATCACTTGATAAGTAGGATTTTCACAATTGCAATTGATAATTATTGGTAATCGCCATTACTGGCTACTCTATGCGTGTATTAGCAAATTCTACATACGTACTTATGTATGGATTTATGAATACGTGTCAAACTGTGAAAAGCATACAAAACACGAACTGCACTCAAATGGTTGACCACATATAAAAGTAATATTTGAAAGTTATAATTATATATGTATGTACTTTAATACATATATTTTAATCTACGGGCATATTGAAAATTGTGCGCCTGTGCAAGCGTTTTCGAGGTTAGAAACGAAGTTTTGTAGTAACCGTACCGTACGGCAAGAAAACTGGTGACTATGTGTGTGTGTGTGTGATAGAAACGCATGTTTTAAAACGCCGGCAATTTGGCGCTGACTGATGACGTCGCTCGTGGAAACAAGGGCAACAGCAAAAAAAACTCCCGAAACACATATGCATGCATTATATGTAAATGAATATAAGCAAGTACATTTAGTAAGTACTGCTGAACAAGAAAATATGCCAGGTTGGCACCTTCGATAACTTTCGTTTTTTTACATTATGCTGTTCAGCCATTGTATGAATGTGTAAGCGTGTTTGACGTGTCACTCTCACACAACTTGCCTATATGAGCATCTCTTTCGCACATACTTGAGTGGCATTGCCACGCCGATAATCACATATTTTTAATTCGTTATATACGAATAACTATTTCCAAGTAAACGAATTCGTGTTTAAAAAGCACTCAGGCTAAAGATCACTTAAACTGTACACTTACTTGTTTCACAATGCCGGATAAAGTCTTTGCAGGCGCTGGTGCATTAGCTGCAGGCGCACCGTCTTTTGCTGCTCCAGCTGTCGTGTTAGCTGCGGTTGCCATATTTCCGTACAGGTGCGGGTTTTACCGGCGGGCCGTTATACGTGGCTTTTTTAGTAAGCGGGTTGATTTCCTCACGTTTGTTTAAAGTGCGCCTAACACTGTTTTTAACTTAATTAAGTTAATTGGGTATGAACACACCACACAATACAATCACCTCAGAATTTTCACTGCTTAGTAAGCTGTGTGACCAAATATACAAATGTCCAATATACCACTCTTATCGACGAAAAATACCAATTGAATAATGCGAATTTGACTGACAAAATACTAGGTACCCTAAGATCAGGAAGAATTAAACGGTGTAGATATACTGAGTTAGCTTAGTAAATTTATATATAAATATTTATATATATATATTTATATATATAAATATGTATATAGAATTGTGTTTAATATGTTACTTTGTTTACTCAAATATAACTATAAAAAAGTGTCTAAAACGGCAATTAAAAGCTATCGATAGTAATCGATTTAATCACTATTAGCATTCCTAAAATAAGGCGGGAAATACTAATACATATCGCCTTATAAGCAAAGATGAGCCGTTCAAACCAAATTTTTGGCGATAATGCCTTCGATTTACTAAAGGATCTTAAACGATCGGCCCAAACTATACCAGCCTTTGACGACGACGGCGTACGTCAGGTATTGGAGGAGATAAAGGCTATTTTCGAGGAGAATGTGGCGCAGGCGTCTAGCTATAACAGCTCTGGAGATCGCAGTTTGTGGCCCCTTCTTAACTATAGACACGCGGCTCTTCAGCGAAATAAACGCTGTCTCCTGGCTTACCTGTATGAGCGAATGCAGCGTATCAAAGCCATGCGATGGGAGTTCGGTCCAATTATACCAAGTGATATCAAACAGGCACTTTGTGAACCAGAAGTGCAATTTTTTAACAACTATTCCAAGTCATTAGCTTCATATATGCGTTCCGTAGGCGATGGGCAAGGCATTGACTTGACTGGCAACTTACGGCCGCCAAAAGCTCTTTATATCGAGGTGCGTTGCGTAGAGAATTATGGCAAGTTCGAGTTGGATGATGGCGAGGTGGTACATTTGAAGAAGAATAGTCAACATTACTTGCCCCGCGCACAGGTAGAGCCACTGGTACGCCAGGGCATTTTACAGCACATAGCTTAATGTATAAATCCAAGAATAAAATAAGTCATACATAAGCATAATGCTCTTTTGTTTTTTTTTAAATGAATTTCGCTCAAAATGCTCAGTTGCTTATTTGCGTTGTGTTTTTTTATCGAAGTAGTCGATAGATATTGGTGAGTTTCCAGAAACATATGTTAATAACATTTCAGAAAATGTTAAAATTGTTTAACAGCTGTTTAGCTTGGTAATTACGTGAGCCTTAATTTGTTGAATAAAAATCTGGTTTAAAAATGAATCAAGCCGACGTTAGCAAGTTAATATCACAATTGCGAATTGCAGTGCGGCCTAACAAACGTCATTTAAAAAACGTGGATGGCCCAGAAGGCCGCTTGCTTAAGCTACGGAAAACTGTCACGGCGCTGGTGAAACACGAACGCATTGAATTGTTTTACAATCGAGCAGATGAGGCACGTGGGTATGCAGAGCTGGTAAGGACGAAATACGTTTTATTTAACGAATTTACAAGTTACCAATTCCGTATAGCTCATTTCAAATGCCATACGGTATGGCGACCGACACAAAGCGACTATGGATCTTGCGGACTATTGGCTGTTGGAGAAGCAACTAGTACATAAACTATTTAAGGTGTTAGTACCACGATTTGAAAACTCTAACTTATCCTACACACGCATGTTGAAAGCGCCGCGGGAATATCCTGGAATGTACTATACAAAATCTGTGCTAGAGCTCCGTGGGAATCCCTTCCCAGTGCTAACGCCAGATAACAGTCAGAATCGCAATCTATTACACAATGTTCTACTGGATGAAGCACGTAAGGAATTTAGACGAGAAAAGCTGGCAAATATGGCTAACAAACTTGCTGCTGAGATTGCAACGCCTCCATCACCCATACAAGGGTCCACGACCGAAAACCAGCCACAAAATATTGAAGGTGCGCCAAAAGTATAGTATTTTTTGTAAATCGTTGATAGTAATGCATTTTCTAAGCTTGATTTTGACATAATGAGATGTTAATCGGGTGGGCTCAAATCACATATATATATATATATACTTACCTGGTGTTTCTCTTAAGCAAGATGCTCCCAAATCAAGCTAGTACAGATTCAAACAGATAGTGACATGTTTATGGTAAATGTATATATATATATATATACACAAATGTCATTTCATAATTAGATCCAAGCCGCCAAATTAAAAAAAGATGTTGTAGCCAATGCGTTTGGTAAATGTATTTAAAATAAGTTTTAAAAACAATAATGATTACCTTGATTTTCAATTTATTTAAAATCAATTGTTTAAAGATGTTAAACTCAATTTTATACATATATGTGTTCGTAAATTTACTTTCATGTGTTCAATCCCATTTATGTTGCCAGTGTGTACTTACGGCTACAGTCCTCAGCCACAAAAATCAGTTGCTACTTTTGTAATAAGAAAGTAACAAATGGAAGAGCATACCTTAAATATAAGTGGGAAAACATACACTTAATTATGAAAGCACTTGTGAAGTTCATACAAATATGTGTGTCAATGCCAAAAATGGAAATTTTATTTTTAAGCCGTTAATCAAGTACATATATTTGGGACATCTGTAAGTTATCCATATTTCTTTTAACTTGCATGTAGCGCTCACATAGGAGTAGAAAGTTGCAAACCAGTAATTTTTGAAGATAGTCGAACACATTTTCTTGTATCTTTAAGTTTTTACCCTTGAGGCTTAATTTCTATTTATTTATAAAATATCAGTCTTGTATAATATTTATTTTGCTAATGTTTTAGTGTTTAGGTATATGCTAGCATTCAGTTAGCGTTGTGCTTTTAAAGTTTGCTTACATTGCAATGGCTAAAATAGTCCGATTTCCAATCTAAAACGCATAAATGATAGGTCAATACATTAATTGGTGGATGTAATCATGTATTTTAACAATACCTTTGCCGGTTAAGCATATCTCACGCAACATGTCACAGTGGCTATAAAAAAACTGGTGTTCATTTGAATAAGTGGCACAGATAGGCAGAAAAGGGTCGCAATTATCTATGGCCCTGCAGCGATACGAATTCTCCAAGGCTGGTAGAGAGAGCACACACAGCAGAGATGCTACGAAGAGCATCAGCAGAAGCAATGCAATTTTTGATAAGATTCCGAAAGAAGACATTTTTAACTCAGCCTATTAACACCTTTATTGATTCACACGTTTTAGAGAGTTAGTGAGTAAGTAGATGGGGTAGCAGGTTATAAATTGTGTATTAAGCATTTGAAGTGTAAGTAAATGGTATTAACCATCCGTACTCCGTACTGACAACGTGCTTTAAAACGAATACCGCACAACTGATAACCACTGGGGAGCTCAAGCGCACAATCCCCCATCTGGTCTGCCCGATTGTCATGGCAACGGCCGGTTGTCGCGCATTGTTATTATTTGTCACAGACACATTGATAAACATTGACTCAATCATAGCTCGCGGTTTACGGGGGCGCTATTGTTTATTCCGCTATTGCCGGCATACTCAATGAATGACGATGTCGTTGCTCATCTAACTGGAACACCATTTTCAGTCGTATCGGAAGTGTTGCTTAGCGGAACCACAGCCTGCATGTGTATTTGCTGTATTGAGGGCAGAGTCTATGCACTAAAACATACTATGGACCTAAAGTGGCCCTTAAGAAGAACGTTTTTATAATATTTGTATACTTTTTATAAAACTTTTATAAAACTTTATAAAATTTAAATGTATGTAACAGGCAGAAGGAAGCATCTCCGACCCCATAAAGTATATATATTCCTGATCAGCATCAATAGCCAGATGGAGTTTGTCTCCGATAATCGATAACTTAATCCTTTTCCAAGCATTCGATAAAAATCGATATCGACATCCTGTTTTTTGAGAAAATTGTGTAAATATTAAGAGCTAGAGTCACCAAACTTGATATGTTGCTTCTAGAATATTATATATACATCATCTTTCATATCTTTCATTTTATACCCATCACCACCTCAACGCTACCACCGCAGAGCTATGAATCAAGTTAAAAGCCCAACTTATATTGCCCGACAATTAAAGTCACAATTTTAATGCAATTGACTTCTTGAGAATATACAAACATTCTATGGTACAATAAGATATACTGTAGAAAATTTCATCAAGATCGGTTAGGAAAAAACCAAAGTTATGTTTTACTGCGCAGTTAGATGGGGTGCAAAATCCAAGAATTTCTCTATACATGACTGGTGTGGTTGTTGCGTAGAGTTGTCAGCAAGTAATGCGGTCGGCTGCGAGTTCGAACCCCGCCAAGGGAACTTTTATTTTTTTTTAATTTTTCTTTATTACTTCAAACGAACGCGTTGCGCGAACTGCATTTGGTGTTGGAATAAGAGGGCTCAGGGTATTCCCTCTTACTTGTTTATATATATATATAGATAAAATGCTTTGAGAAGAGTTTGCAAAGATAATGACCATCACGGCACTTCAACATATATGTATGTATTTCTTTGTGTGATGTCTTCCCAGCGTGTGTGTTCACAGGCCATGATGGCTGCATTTCCTGTTTGTGCTGATGCTAGCGTCCCCACTATGCGACTTACATAATTTCAACAAAACAATGGAGACATAAAAAAGTGCATTTATATATATACTAGAGTATATTTCAAAAGTAATAATACTTGTGCGTATTCAAAGCAATTAAAATAATAATAATAATTTTGCGTCATCTTTTAATTTAATCCAACCTGACATTATTATACGTAGCGCATAGAAGGTCACGTTTCTAATAAAGTATTTATATATGCTTGATCAGAGAGCATTTATCCGGAGAGTGAACATTGTGAATATTGCGGCATAGTGGGAAAGTGTTTGCTCCCAATATTGGTATTGATTCTTTCGATCCCTTCACTTCATTGTGTGTGTGTGTGTGTGTGTGTGTGTGTGTGTGTGTTTTTTTTTTTTTTTTTTGCTTACGGCATGGAGGTGAAAATCTTCGTAAGATACTGATGGCCCGGGCCAACCGTATGCACGATTCGCTGACTCCGTCAACACCTACGTACTAAACTCACCCCCCACTCACACACCACATTCCCCGCGGGATCACCGCAAAGTATTACTTCGCGGGGATGGGTTGCCAATTTTAGGCAGTCTCCATTATTCGTCGCTCCTTTTCGCATCGTCTCAGATCCCTCTGGATGCCTATTATCAGCTGACTTATATTCCTCCAGTTGTCCTCTCCTTCCAGCATGAACGTTACTAGTCCCTCAGGTGGGGGTACAGAGCCTACTGCGTCTCTATACCTCGAGCATTGGTACAGCACGTGTTCCGGGTCTTCGTCCAAATTTGGGCATGTCGGACACTCCGGGGTGTCCTCATGCCTGAACCTGTGGAGATACTTCCTGTATCCGCCGTGTCCAGTAAAAAACTGCGTTAGGTGAAAGTTAATTTCTCCGTTCCGTCTCCTAATCCATTGCTCCAGATTGGGGATTAGTTAGTGTGTGTGTGTGTGTGTGTGTGTGTGTGTGTGTGTGGGGAGGGGGGGGGGGGGGGGGGAATGCTGAAGAGGTAATTCACATATGTACTGCACGGTCGCTATTGGCTGTAAAAATTTTGATCCCGCTGTCTTAGTTCTTAGACAGCGAAATATGCTTGCGTTTGTGCTCAATTGTTATGGTATTAGTGTGAATGTCGGCTTAACGTAGGTGCGAGCTTAATGGGGCAATTCAGTTTGTGCCCTTCTCTCCTATTGATCGGTCGCGTCCTCGGCGCATGTTAAATAAATTTAATGTCGTTTTTTAAAAGATTTAAATTAAATGTGTAAAGTAAAACGCGTTTGGTTCGTATTGTGTTTGTGCTTGCAGATTTACATTACCTTCTACTGGTTATTTATCAATTGGAAAGTTATTTGTCGCTTACATTTTGTAGCTGAACTTTTTCACAAAAGGCAAATTGGTGCAAACACATGCATATGCCAAGTAAAGAGAGAGAAAGAAAAATCGAGAGGGAGAGAGAAAGAGAACAATATAGAAAGGGTGAAGATGCTATTTAAGAGGTAATTGTGCTCTTGCTGTACATACCTACATGCAAAATATATGTATATATATATAAATATATTTATATATGTGTATATATATGTTTATAATTCATGCAAAGGAGTTAAAACACGATCGGACGGTAAGTCAATTTCCCCTGCTGCAGGCGCGATTTCCCAAATCGCTGAAACACGTATTCACTGAGTTCATATATAGAGCTTCGAAAAGTATGAAACATTGGACAAGCCAAAAACCAGAATAATATTGCCAAACCTCGTGAAAATCGGATGAGAATTGACCAAGTTATGGGTGAGTAAAAATTTGACTTATGCCTACATAGAATATTTGAGGGTACCATTTTCCCAGATTATTTAAGAGGCCAAACTATAAAAAAGGGCCAAAGCCAACATATGTATTCCGATTTTACTGGCAGATTAGTATAAAGGGAAAACTATTAACAAAAAGCCAAACCTCGTTAAAATCGGATGAGATTTGACCGAGTTATGGGAATAGGAAGCGTGCACCCATGTCTATAGGGGTAAGATTTTAACATTTCGACTAAAATATATGTATTCAGAATTGAATGAGAGATTATTCTAGAGGGAAAACCATTAAGAAAAATACAAACATCGTAAAAATCGGATAAGATTTGACCAAGTTATGGGCATTAGAAGTTTGCACCCATGTATATAGACGAATCTTGGGGTAAGATTTTTACATCAATTTCGACTAAAAAATATGTATTCAGATTTAAATGAGAGATTATTCTAGAGGGAAAACCATTAAGAAAAATACAAACATCATAAAAATCGGATGAGACTTGACCGAGTTATGGGCATTAGAAGTTTGCACCCATGTATATAGACGAATCTTGGGGTAAGATTTTGACATGAATTTCGACTAAAAAATATGTATTCAGATTTAAATGAGAGATTATTCTAGAGGGAAAACCATTAAGAAAAATACAAACATCGTAAAAATCGGATGAGACTTGACCGAGTTATGAGCATTAGAAGTTTGCACCCATTTATATAGACGAATCTTGGGGTAAGATTTTGACATGAATTTCGACTAAAAAATATGTATTCAGATTTAAATGAGAGATTATTCTAGAGGGAAAACCATTAAGAAAAATACAAACATCATAAAAATCGGATGAGACTTGACCGAGTTATGAGCATTAGAAGTTTGCACCCATTTATATAGACGAATCTTGGGGTAAGATTTTGACATGAATTTCGACTAAAAAATATGTATTCAGATTTAAATGAGAGATTATTCTAGAGGGAAAACCATTAAGAAAAATACAAACATCGTAAGAATCGGATGAAATTTGAACAAGTTATGGGCATGGGAAGCTTTGACCCCATGTATATAGACGAATCTTGGGGTAAGATTCTGACATGCATTTCGACTAAAAATATGTATTCAGATTTAAATGAGAGATTATTCTAGAGGGAAAACCATTAAGAAAAATACAAACATCGTAAGAATCGGATGAAATTTGAACAAGTTATGGGCATGGGAAGCTTTGACCCCATGTATATAGACGAATCTTGGGGTAAGATTTTGACATGAATTTCGACTAAAAAATATGTATTCAGATTTAAATGAGAGATTATTCTAGAGGGAAACCCATTAAGAAAAATACAAACATCATAAAAATCGGATGAGATTTGACCGAGTTATGAGCATTAGAAGTTTGCACCCATGCATATAGACGAATCTTGGGGTAAGATTTTGACATGAATTTCGACTAAAAAATATGTATTCAGATTTAAATGAGAGATTATTCTAGAGGGAAAACCATTAAGAAAAATACAAACATCGTAAAAATCGGATGAGATTTGACCGAGTTATGAGCATTAGAAGTTTGCACCCATTTATATAGACGAATCTTGGGATAAGATTTTGACATGAATTTCGACTAAAAAATATGTATTCAGATTTAAATAAGAGATTATTCTAGCGGGAAAACCATTAAGAAAAATACAAACATCGTAAAAATCGGATAAGATTTGACCAAGTTATGGGCATTAGAAGTTTGCACCCATGTATATAGACGAATCTTGGGGTAAGATTTTTACATCAATTTCGACTAAAAAATATGTATTCAGATTTAAATGAGAGATTATTCTAGAGGGAAAACCATTAAGAAAAATACAAACATCATAAAAATCGGATGAGACTTGACCGAGTTATGGGCATTAG